TGAATGTAAGTTTATCACTTTATTACAACTTTATCATCATCATCACACAGAAACACAACTTTATTATCATCATCACACAGAAACACAACTTTATTATCATCATCATCATCACACAGAAACACAACTTTATTATCATCATCACACAGAAACACAACTTTATTTATCCAGAAACACAACTTTTATCATCATCACACAGAAACACAACTTTATTATCATCATCACACAGAAACACAACTTTATTATCTATCTCATCACACAGAAACACAACTTATATCATCATCACACAAACAAACTTTATCATCATCACACAGAAACACAACTTTATATCATCATCACACAGAAACACAACTTTATTTATCATCATCATCACACAGAAACACAACTTTATTATCATCATCACACAGAAACACAACTTTATCATCATCACACAGAAACACAACTTTATATAAAGAAACACAACTTTATCATCATCACACAGAAACACAATTTCATATCACACAGAAACACAACTTATCATCATACACAGAAACACAACTTTATATATCTCACACAGAAACACAACTTTATCATCATCACACAGAAACACAACTTTATTATCATCACACAGAAACACAACTTTATATCATCATCACACAGAAACACAACTTTATTATCATCACACAGAAACACAACTTTATACACAGAAACACAACTTTTATCATCATCACACAGAAACACAACTTTATATCATAACAGAAACACAACTTTATATCATCACACAGAAACACAACTTTATCATCATCATCACACAGAAACACAACTTTATCATCATCACACAGAAACACAACTTTATCATCATCATCATCACACAGAAACACAACTTTATCATCATCATCACACAGAAACACAACTTTATCATCATCACACAGAAACACAACTTTATCATCATCACACAGAAACACAACTTTATCATCATCACACAGAAACACAACTTTATCATCATCACACAGAAACACAACTTTTTATATCATCACACAGAAAACAACTTTATTCATCATACACAGAAACACAACTTTATTTATCATCCACAGAAACACAACTTTATATACACAGAAACACAACTTTATCATCATCACACAGAAACACAACTTTTTTCACACAAAATTTATAACACAACTTTATAAAAATTTATATTCACAGAAACACAACTTTTATCATCACACAGAAACACAACTTTATTTCCAAACACACTTTATCATTCACACAGAAACACAACTTATCATCATCACACAGAAACACAACTTTATCATCATCACACAGAAACACAACTTTATTATCATCATCACACAGAAACACAACTTTATCATCATCACACAGAAACACAACTTTATCATCATCACACAGAAACACAACTTTATATTAAAATTTATCATCACACAGAACACAACTTTATTATCCACAGAAACACAACTTTATCATCATCACACAGAAACACTTTATTATCATCACACAGAAACACAACTTTATATCATCTACACAGAAACACAACTTTATCATCATACACAGAAACACAACTTTTATCTCACACAGAAACACAACTTTATCATCATCACACAGAAACACAACTTTATATTCACACAGAAACACAACTTTATTTCATATCACACAGAAACACAACTTTATCATCATCATCACACAGAAACACAACTTTATCATCATCACACAGAAACACAACTTTATCATCATCACACAGAAACACAACTTTATCATCATCACACAGAAACACAACTTTATCATCATCATCACACAGAAACACAACTTTATTATCATCATCACACAGAAACACAACTTTATCATCATCATCACACAGAAACACAACTTTATTATCATCATCACACAGAAAAAACTTATATAAAGAAACAAACTTTATCTATCATCACACAGAAACACAACTTTATCATCATCACACAGAAACACAACTTTATATCATATCCACGAAACACAACTTTATACTATCATCACACAGAAACACAACTTTATCATCATCATCACACAGAAACACAACTTTATCATCATCATCACACAGAAACACAACTTTATTATCATCATCACACAGAAACACAACTTTATCATCATCACACAGAAACACAACTTTATTATCATCATCACACAGAAACACAACTTTATCATCATCATCACACAGAAACACAACTTTATCATCATCATCACACAGAAACACAACTTTATTATCATCACACAGAAACACAACTTTATCATCATCACACAGAAACACAACTTTATCATCATCACACAGAAACACAACATTAAACTAATATGGGATTATTATCAGAACAGTTTGTCCCGCAGTGTAAGAATACAGCGGGATGGTTTCACACGCGTGGTCCAGTAACGGCGCCGGCTGCGAGCGGCTGGAGTGATGGCGTGTGACGGTCCTGCTGGTTTGTGTTTCAGGCCTCTGTGTACGGACCTCTCGGCCTCCTCCTGGTTCTGCTCGTCCTGCAGGTCTGCGCCGCCGTCACTGTCTGTGTGTTCTCTGGTAAATCCCTCAGACGCCGCGACCGCTACACCCCCATTGTGGTAAGGTTCATTTGGTTCATTTGGTTTTAATAACAACAGCTGATGAGTTGTGTCTAAACTCAAACCTCGGTTATTACGTAGCTGTGTTCATATTGACTTTATCCTGGAAATCATTCCATAAGAATAAATAAAGAGTAATAAAAGTTACATATATGTTTATTATTATTATTATTATTATTAATATGAATTCTACAGCCCAGAAAGTAAAGAAACACATCAGTTTTACCTTTTAACAGTCTATATGACAAACTGCATTATGGGAAATGTAGGACCCAGTGTTTGGGACTGAATGAATCTGTAGACGAAACAATTTAACAGCAGAAGATGATGATGATGATGAGTTTTTGGTTTGACCTTTGACCTCCAGGTGGAGGTAGAAGATGGCAGTGCAGCGTCAGCTCACGACAGCGACGTCGCCCTGTTGGGTAGCGAGTAAACCGCCACATCCCCTCCCAGCTCACCGTGAGAGGGAGGACAACATTTCTGAACACTTCTAGTACTACAGTAATTCTATAGTAATACTACAGTTATACTACAGTAATTCTACAGTAATTCTACAGTGATTCTACAGTAATACTACAGTAATACTACAGTAATTCTACAGTGATACTATAGTGATTCTACAGTAGTAATACAGTCATAATACTTTAATACTATCATACTCTGCCTGTCATTCTACTGTGTATAATCCGTCTATAATCAGTTTCTGTTGCTGGCTCTCAGTACTCATTGTGTTGCATTGTGGGTCATTTAAGGGTTAATCTTCTGAAGTTGTGATGGGGTTTAAATGTGGAGCACTCGATACTGACTCTAGATGAAGAGGTAATCAAACAGCAGATTGTAATGACACTAAAAGTAAGACCTGTTTCTCACCAGTTGCCTGTTTGTTCCTCAGAAAGGCAAAGTGAAATATGAAGAAGCCATCTTGGATTCTGGGTGATATTGAGAGCATGTGTGCTTCAGTACAGGGTTGGAGTCACTAACGGAGGGTGTTCACATACACAATCACATCCTGCAAACAGCTGCTGATAGATCATACAGCATAGCTTTAATGGTGGTGGGGAAACAGTCGTATCATTGCATTTTACTTTTGCTGACTCATTTAAACACCTGTGTATGCTTTAATATTCTGTTTTCACCTGAAAGGTACAAATATGTCAGAGTGCACTATTAAAGACATAAATATGTAAATGTTCCAGAAACAGAGCCGTTTACTCTGAGGGGATTCTGTGTTGGTTGTTTGTTGTCTCTTTGTAAACAACAGTTAATCAATAAATTGATTTGGTTCCACGTTGTTTGTTCTTACTGCAGAAACATGAAGGTTGAAACAGTCGGGCAAACAGGTGTTTTCACAGCGGCATTACAGTTTTTTCCAATTGCTCAAACACAATTTTGCAAACTAGGCTGTTTTTATGAAAAAACACAAAACCACAAACCCAAACTGCAAAATACCTCATATATCCAGTAAAAGGAGCACTGCAACCAAAACTACATATAGCATTATCAAAATCAAACTTGTGCCCCAAATTACACACTTCATTCATATTAGCAGATGGTTGTCTAACCAACTACACACTGTTGGGCATAATGAAAAGCACTCTTATCTTTAGTCTGCTTTACCATAATACTAAAATAGTTCAAATTGTAGAAAATTCTTCAGATTGTTCACATGCATAGAGACACACACACACACACAAAATATTTATATTTTTTATTTTTCACCAACAAGTCAGTGCAACATCTGCACAGCAGTTATACTTACATTGGAGTGAACAAAAATATTCTCACAAAAAACAGTAAACTGAAAAATTGTTTCAGAAAGTGCTCACCTGTGGTGTTTTTGAAGTGCTTCCTTCCTGATTGAAGTGGTAACAATGAACCATTGAGGTGTTTGGCCAGGTGGATCATATATTGGCCAATTAGCTCATGTAGTGTCATTTTGAATGGCAGAGTTTTGAAATGTGAACATGTGACTTTATGTCAGATTGTTGTGTCTTATGCAGAGAACCATCAGTTCATTTAAAAATGGGTGTAAAGCAGAAAATGTGTTTAGAGTTTTGGAGACTTGAGAAGAGGTTTTGCTCTCTGTGTGTTAAATAATAAATAATTGTGCTGTGTCATTTTAGTGTGTTGGCAATTTGAAAAAACTGTAAATAATAGGGTAAACAGGTGTGAACGATACTAATAGAGCTTTTTCACAGCAGCAGTATTGATATGAAAAAGGTCTATTAGTAGCACTGGTAACCTGTGTTTAACCAACTATTTAACGTCAAAAGGCCTTTATATACAATCAGTGCATTCTAACGGGGAGTTCCCACCAAACAAATACAATTATTCACACGAGTAGATTAAAACAAAGTCAATACAAAGACGAGAATACACTCAAAATCTGCAATCTTGTGTGCGTCTGTGTGCACCCAGAGCTCTATATTACTTCATATTATTACAGAGACAGAACAGGAGGCTGTGGGAGAAAAGGAAGAGAGGAAGTTGTAAAATCTGTTATTGATTCCAGCTGTAGGTTTTACTTTACTGTGAGCTAAGGTAGCATAGCCCGGATCAACCAAACTCCATTCAGAAAACAAGCATTTTAAAAGCTGTTTGCTCGTCGTCTTGCAGACCGACCGACAGTCTGACTTTTTACCAATCACCATCATGATGTAGTTATTTCAGCATCATTTGATCTGTTTATTGTCATTAAATCACAGAAGACTCTGTGTATTTCGGGCTCATACCGTCACAGTGAGATGGATTAAAGGGCACATGTTCAACTCACATTACTGCCGTGGTCATTTGTATCAATCATTACCCACACAAGGAATGTGAGCCCAAAACTCGCTTTGTGTTTGGTGTAAATTGTACCTGTGCTAGTGTTAATCAGTCCCTCCAGAATAATAACGTAAATTCAACCAAACCCTGGGATTTCTGCACCACAACTTCTCCAGAAATTTGACCAGTTGTTGTAGTTTTTTGCACAAAATGTTTCACATCCTTGTTACTAGTCCACATTTTATTCTCACTGGAACAAGTTGCCTTTTAATTTTCACTTTCTCTGCAAAAAAACATCACAACATGCATCACAATTGTTTTAGAAAAGCTTCCAATCCCAAAAAAACCACAAAATCCTGGAAAATATTCTTCAGGTTCATTGATAATGAAAATAATCTCTAGCTGCATAAATTTATATGTAATTGACATGTATGAGAGTAAAATTATGTAATATAAAGAAATATGAGGCAGTGTAATAGTTCAGAGATTAATGTTGAGATATGATAATAACGTATAAAGTTGAATTCAGATGTGGAACATACCTGATGTGAGGAGGTTCAGTTGTGTGTTCAACTGTGAAACCCTCAAACCTTATAAAGATGTTGCTCCTCTTCCTCCTCCTCCTCCTCCCATTACATCGTCAACTCATCATGTACTCACTGTTACAATTGAAAGCTTCACTGGAGCGAAGTACAGCTGTGCTCACTCGTTTGGTTAAATGCTGCTGAGGGTCATTAGATTCAAATGGTTCAGTCAAATTTAAAGTGATATCAGATGTAAATGTGTATCAGGGAGCTCTCAGACTGACCTCTGTTAACCAAACCAGGATCAATTAATGATGAAGGTAAATGAGCTCAAAGCATGAAGCCAGGAGGACGCGTCCGTCCAAAGTGTCTCACAGCGCTGCACATGTGTTCATACAGAGAGGACAGGCTGCTTCATTCAGACACTGATTGTGAGCAGCAGCATATAAAGAGGAAGGTTCGAACCAATGACAGGAAGTCTCACAGGCTGCTGTCAGAACCACCAAACAACGTTAGAAAGGGTGAGCAGAGAGAGAGAGAGAGAAGCTGATTCCTCACACACCAATCATCCATCAATGGCAGCCTAAGTTTACACATAATCCATGATGATGGCAAAGTAAAAAAATACACATTCAACAGCAAAAATAGCATATTCCAGTCCCTCCAGGAAGTTACAATCACAGCAATGAACACAAATTCAACCTGACAGCTGTTGCAGGTTTGTCCAGTCACTGCGACTGGAAGTAGGCTGGTTTGGTAACCAATGACACACAAACGATAAATGATACCCGTACACGACCCTATAAGACTTGTTTGGCGGGGTCTGTCCGAGGTTTCTGCCTCTTCAAAGGAAGTGTTTCCTTGCCCTTGTCTCCAAGGTCTTGCTCATGGTGGTACTGTTGGGTCTCTGTAAATAATGTTAAAGAGTTCGGTCTAGACCTGCTCTATTTGAAAAGTGTCCTGAGATAACTTCTGTTATGAATTGGTGCTATACAAATAAAATTGAATTGAATTGGTTTACTTTGGTTTCCTCTGCATCAAATAACATCCACCTGCTGAGGAAGGCCACAATATGTGGCTGAAAGCTCTGGAAAAACCCAGGAAGTGGACATTGCAATAATTCTCTAAAATACTGTCAGTATTTATTTATTATTAAGTATTTTGGGGGGATTTTATTGCCTTCATGATAGTGACAGCCTCGGTACATGGGTCGCCAGCTCTACCAACTGAGTTACTGGGCGCCTCAATACTGACAGTATTTTAGAGAATAATTATGTCTTATTAAGAGGACGCCAGAGACACATATTAGTTTTATATCCGAAAGGGTTCATTTCTTTGGAGCCCGGGAGTGGACATAGAGAGAAAGAAATATATGTAGAAGACAAGATACGTTTACCTCGCCCTCTCTCTCTGCTCACCTGCCCGTCCCCTCCAATCAAACACACCTGTCTGCGATCAGGTCTTCTCCTCTCCCTCATAAGAACCTGGTGCTGACATTCAGTCCCTTCTGGAACGTTCCAGAGCTTTCATCCCTGAATACAATCCCTCATCTCAACGCCAGCCACCAGTTCACTTTCCTCATCATCATCAAAAAAAAGTATGAAGTGAATTGTTAAAACACTCTTTTGGTTTTAAAGTTTACATCCTATTATGTTACTGTATATGAGCGCAGTTCCATCAGTGAACGCTGATGTCCTCACTCACATTACGGCTCCACCTCCAGGTTACACCACCCAGAACTCTGTAGTCATTGGGGCTGAGCCGAGCACTCGTCTGGAACAAGTATCCAGTACAGATAATATACTTTATTTTCAGTAAGAACATAAAATGTGGAAATATAAAGAGAGAGGAAATTATACAAACATTTTTTGAAGAATATATTCTTTAATTGATCTGTGTTTTACTTATTGTTCTGTTCCTCTGTGATTATACAGAACTGTAATGATAATATGATTTCACTGAGAATAAAATACATTTACTGTTATGTTGTCATAAACACAACTAATCTTCAGAGTCACTTTGGGTTCTGTAGATCTGAATGAACTCCAGGTCCAGGTCCAGGTCCAGGTGGAGCAGTCTCAGTGTGTCTGCAGAGACTGTAGACGGACAGAGCAGCAGCAGCAGCAGCTCCAGATACACTGATGATACTCTGTCACATGATCCAGAGGAACACACAGGGAGCTGATCTCAGAGCAGTTCAGACTGCAGCACTGAGAGTCGTCTCCACTGGTTGTGATTCCTCTGTCAGTCACTGCTGGATGAAGCTCTCCTCTCCACTCTACCTCCCAGTAACATGGCCCAGTCAGAGCTGATGCTGCTGCTTCAACCTCTCTGGATCATCAGGACACAGCGGATCCTCCAACACAACCTCCTTCCTCACCGCTCACTGTCTGACTGAGATCACTTCCAGCTGAGGAGAGAAGGAGACAGAGGACAGCAGAGATCAATCAGTGTTTACAGAGACTCCCTCCATCAGCACATCCAGTATAAAGAGCAGCAGGGACTTCAGTCCAGTTCAGACCAGCAGTGGAGCGGCTGTGTAGCGTAGCCTGCTTCCTTTCAGCTCTCATGTTAACGTATTGGAGTGAACACACTGAGCTGAAGCTCACAGACCTGCACACACTTTGGACATCAAGTCTGCTGACTCTGCAGATTTCACTGAAGTACACAGTGGAAATAAAGTGCTGAGAGTCCCTGAACGCATCATTACTGCAGAAACAGAGAGACATTCACTGCCCACTGGAATGATGCATTTACTGCTGTTAGGGTTCAAAGCTGATAAAAACCACAGTCTCAGTCACATTTGAATGTTTCATCTGAACTCTTACAGGACAAATGTGTAAATATTCAAACTATTTGGACAAACAAGAGACAAATGGACAGATATATATCTGATGTTAAAGGTCCTACATGTTCATACAAAGACTGAACAGCAACACATCAGCTGTGGGTACTGGACTCCAGCAGAGGTCCTGGTCTGTACAAAGACCACATGGTCACTAAATGTAATGATGCTTGTTTGCAGGCTTCAGTCAGACTGATCTCAGAGCTGTGACAAAGACCAACTGATCAGTTGTTTAGTGTAGAAATGAGAGAACAAACAGTGTGAGATCAGACTGGATGAATGAGGACCACTGTCTCTATACATCTTGTAATGCTGTCAGCTGGAATCCAGCTTTATTTCCTGAACACATGAACACAACAACAACAGTCGTCTTCACATCAACTCAAACACATGATCACAACAAGCTTCTGGCTCTCTGATTGGCTGACTGTTCTCTCTCTGTCTGTCTGTCTGTCAGTCTGTCTGTCTGTCTGTCTGTCCAATCCTGAAGCCTGTCCCCATTCTCCTCTCACAGCTTCACTGAGGAAAGCAGCAAATACTGGATCTGTGTTTAGTCCAAGACTGCTGGAACCAGCATGGACTGACTCAGACCCTCTACTGACCTCAGAGTCTCCAGTCTACAGTGTGGACTCTCCACAAGATCAGACAGCAGCTTCACATCTGGATCCTTCAGGTTGTTGTTGTAACTCAGGTCCAGCTCTCTCAGACTCTTATGAACTGATTTTCTGTCCTATTAAACATTTAGTGATCAGCCTGTAGTTTGTTATTAATACAAACTCAACACTTCCTGCAGTACTTCACAGTAAAAGTCCTCCATAAAGAGAGCTTATAAAGTCCTTCACTGTTTTTTAGCATGTAACAGTGGTGTCACAGGTTCAAGTCCATAAGGTTGCCTTCTTTACATGTCCTTATGTTTCCTGTCACTCTCTACTGTCAACTATCAAATCGAGACATAAATCAAATATTGTAAAAAAAAACCAACTAATAAATACATTTGAAACTGATTTTCAACAGTTGCAAATCTTCACAGTGAAAATATAAGAATATTTGATTAAAGTCTAACTTCAGCTGTTTAGATACAGAAATAAAATATAATCAATCTCACTTTGTAACAGTCTGCACACTAATAGTTCTCCTTATAAATATCAATATCTGAACAGAACATTTTGTCTTCATCCTCAATGCATCATCTTCATCAGGTCAGTTTACAGTAAAAACAGCCTCTTACTGTGAGTCTGAGGATCCAGGTCCATTACTGAAGAATAGAGGAAGATCTTTGGACCGGTCACTCTTCATAGACAGACAGCTGGACACTGCAGACTCTGCTCTGTCCTCCTCTTCCTCCACATAAACACTCATCTTCTGCTCTGAAGTCAGTCTGAGAGTCAGCAACACAGACTGTGAGCTCAGAGCTCAGAAACAGGAACAACGCTCAAGTTCCTTGTTAGATAGGTACCCTAGTACTGATGAGCTGTAATTTTCTGATGTTAAATTCAGAAAAAAAACAAATTCTTGTACTTGGCCCCAAAACCTTAGAGACTCACTGTCTAAAGATATAGTTACTCTAAATGGCATTAACTTGGCCTCTAGCACCACTGTCAGGAATCTTGGAGTTATCTTTGATCAGGATTTGTCATTTAATTCCCACATAAAGCAGACCTCTAGGACTGCCTTCTTTCATTTACGTAATATTACAAACATCAGACACATCTAATCCATGCATTTGTTACTTCTAGGCTGGATTACTGCAACTCTTTATTATCAGGCTGCCCCAATAACTCCATTAAGATGCTCCAATTAGTTCAAAACGCTGCAGCACGAGTACTGACAGGAACCAGGAAAAGAAAAATTGAATTGAATTGAAAGCACATCTCTCCTGTACTAGCTTCTCTGCATTGGCTCCCTGTAAAATGTAGAATAGAATTTAAAATCCTCCTCCTCACCTATAAAGCTCTTCATGGTCAGCCCCTTCATATCTTAAAGAGCTCATAGTACCCTATTACCCCTCTAGAACACTACGTTCTCTGAATGCTGGGCTACTTGTGGTTCCTATAGTCTCTAAAAGTAGAACAGGAGCCAGAGCCTTCAGTTACCAAGCTCCTCTCCTGTGGAACCAGCTTCCAGTTGTGGTTCAGGAGGCAGACACCCTCACCACATTCAAGAGTAGGCTTAAAACGTTCCTCTTTGATAAAGCTTATAGTTAGGGCTGGATGAGGTGAGTCCTGAACCATCCCTTAGTTATGCTGCTATAGGCCTAGACTATCGGGGGATTTCCCATGGTGCCCTGAGCTCCTCCCTTCCTCTCTCTTTCTGCACTCATTCATGTCCCATTAATGCATGTTACTAACTTCACTTCTTCCCCGGAGTTCTTGTGCTTTCTCGTCTCGCAGGTTCTTATCGATTCCTGGTGGAGCCTCCTGCCATGGTCCTGCTAGATTGCCATTGCTAATGTCACTGATATTATTGTTATTATATATATATATGTTAAGATATATTGTATGTCAGACTCATCCGATATGAACAGACTGGAACCAGACTGGGTCTGATTGATCTGACAGAAAGGATTGTTCACACTTCATCCAGAAAATGATGTATGCTGCTCTAGGCCTAGACTTTCGGGGGATTTCCCATGATGCACTGAGCTCCTCTCTCCCTTTCTCTTTCTGCACTCATTCATGTCCCATTAATGCATGTTACTCGTCTCGCAGGTTCTCATGGATCCTGGTGGAGCCTCCTGACATGGTCCTGCTTGACTGCCATTGCTAATATCACTGATATTATTGCTGTTATTATTATTATTATTATTATTATTATTATTATTATTATTATTATTATTACTACAGTTACTATTATTACTATTGTCACTGCTCATTGTCCCCCATCGTTGTTGTTGTCGTCATCATCATCTTCTTCATGTTCATCATCATCAGTCACTACTGTCAATGTAGTTGTTGTTACTGTTGTTGCTGTGCACCTGTCTGTCTCTCTGTCTCTCTCTCTCTGTCTCTCTCTCTCTCACCCCAACTGGTCGAGACAGACGACCACCCACCTAGAGCCGGAGGATCTGTCCTAGGTTTCTGCCTTTTAACAGGCAGTTTTTCCTTGCCCTTGTCTCCAAGGTCTTGCTCATGGTGGTACTGTTGGGTCTCTGTAATTAATGTTAAAGAGTTCGGTCTAGACCTGCTCTATTTGAAAAGTGTCCTGAGATAACTTCTGTTATGAATTGGACCTATATGCAGCCTGCATGTTTCCTCCTTCTGCTGTCGACTCAAAATGGAGTCTGAACCAACTGAACTCTTTCACTTTCAGGTTCCTTCCTGTTCTCTGGATCGAGCAGACAGTGACAGTGTAGCTCCTTCCCTCTCCATTTACAGGAAATCACATGGTTTATCTGTGTGTGTGTGTGTGTGTGTGTGTGTGTGAGACTCATGTACAAACTGTTTCTGAGCTCACAGTCTGTGTTACTGTTTGACTCTCAGACTGACGAAGAGTGACCGGTCCATGAATTCACCTCTCTTCTTCAGTAAATAACCTGGACCCTCAGACTCACAGTAAGAGGCTGTTTTTACTGTACTGTTGGACTTTACTTTTATAGAGTAATAACAGAAGTTGGAGGGCAACAGAAAGTGCAACTAGTTTGCGGATGGCAGAGAGTCTTTGTTGGCAGCGTTTGTGGATGACAGTAGTGTGATGATCGAAGTTCAGTTTATTGTCCAGAGTTAGTCCGAGGTATTTGATGGACTCCACAATCTCCACGGATTCACTGTTGATCATTGTGGGGTTATGGATGAGGTTGTGTGCTGAGCTGTGGATGCTGGAAGTGTTGATGATCAGTTCCTTTGTTTTCTTAACATTGAGTTCTAGATGACTGTTTGTGCACAATTGTGTGAAGTGGGAGATGGAGTCCTGGCATCTTAATACAGAGTTATTGTCGTTGAGGAGTGCAAGTATGGCAGTGTCTTTAGAGTATTTAATATATGTGGTGACAGGTGAGGGGCTGGTGCAGTCATTGGTGTACAGGGTGAACAGAAACGGGCTCAGGACACAACCTTGTGGATGATTGTGGAGGATGTAACAGTGCCCACTCTGACTGTCTGTGGTCTGTTGCTGAGGAAACTGTGGACCCAGTGAATGAGGAGTGGATGGATGCTGAGGTGGTAGACTTTCCTGATCATCTGATGACGCTGGATGGTGTTAAAAACAGAACTGAAATCGATGAAGAGAATTCTGGCTGGGGTGATTCTAGGTGCTGTAGGAGGGAGTGAAGGAGACATGAAACAGCATCCTCAGTCCCCCTTTTGACCTTGTAGACAAACTGATTAGGGTCCAGATGTGGTTCAACAAACGGGTGGATGATGTTAAGTATCAGTTTTTCGAGGCATTTCATGACGATGGAAGTGAGTGCAACTGGCCGCTAGTGATTAAGTTCTGAGGGGGCGGGGTTTTTTGGCTACTGGTATGATAGTGGATATTTTCCAGAGGGTAGGTACTGAAGCAGTCTTGTAGGATCTGTGACACAGTCTCTGAGCACCCTCGCCTGAACGCTGTCAGGTCCCTGGCCTTGCCTGGCTTACACGTGCCCAGATGCCGGTGTACATCATCCACAGTGAATGGCGCCTGGTGTGTTGTCTCCAGGATTGGCAGGGTTTCCAGCAGAGCCTTGCAGTCCTCAGAGCAGTCGTTTGTGTCGAACCTGGTGTAGAATCTGTTCAGGTTGTCTGCAAATGAGGTTGGATCATTTATTGCTGACAGTGTAGTTTTAGGTTTCCGTGAGATATGTACCACAGTCCTTTAAAGTAGCTGTAATTAAACCCCTTCTTAAAAAGCACACTCTTGACCCAGGGGTTTTAGCCAATTATAGACCGATTTCTAACCTCCCCTTCCTCTCTAAGATTCTGGAGAAAGTAGTCGCCAAACAGTTGTGTGACTTTCTACATAGCAACAGCTTTTTTGAGGATTTTCAGTCAGGATTTAGAGTTCATCACAGCACAGAGACAGCTCTGGTTAAAGTTAATAATGACCTTTTGATTGCTTCCGACAATGGACTTGTCTCTGTACTTGTATTATTAGATCTTAGTGCTGTATTTGACACCATTGACCATAATACTCTTTTACAGAGACTTGAGCATCAAATTGGCATTAAAGGAACCGCCCTAAACTAGTTTAAGTCATATTTATCAGATCGTTCTCAGTTTGCACACGTTAACGATGAATCATAAACACTACAGTTAGTCTTGGAGTTCCACAAGGTTCTGTGCTTGGACCAATTCTATTCACTTTATATATGAGTGAACAGCTCCCATGATCCAAAACTAGTTCAACACCTCATTAAACTCCCTCTTTTCTTGTTGTTTTGAAATCCCGATTTTCTGGGATTTTAATATTGACCTGTTGATTGTAGCTGTTTGTGTCTCATGTTGTGCATTGAAGGTTTATTCTGTTACAGACAGATCTTATGGGTTGATAATGATGATTGTACCTACAGATGATGTAACAGGATGTGACTGCCTGTTCATTCTATGAAGGCTGCTGATCGTGTTATCTTTCCAAGCAGAGCAGAAGGAAGTGGTGAAGCTGAAGGCGTCACTCTGCTGCTGACACTGACTGACAGTCCACATCCAGACAACATGAAGGCTTCATCTGTGTCTCTGCTGCTCGGTGAGTCCAACACAGAGCTTCTACACTCATCCATCCATCACAGCTCCAACACACTGCACACTCTGCACTCATACACAGGAACCAGCACTGAGAGTCCAGGTCTCAGTCTGGATCAGGTTTCACTATAATAGTGATAATAGTATAGTATAGTGATAATAATAATCAATAATCAATATTTATCACACAGAAACTTCCTGCATTCAAAGTTCTACTAAAGTAAAAGTACATGTATTTAAAGTATGAGCAGTGTGAGAGATTATTCTGTATGACATTATTAGATTGTTCATACTGAAGCATCAATGTGGAACTACTTTATATACAGTTAGTTCAGTCAGAGCATCTGCAGCTCTGAAAACAACATACCTCGGTCCTTCCCTCCACTCACTCATATCTTTGGGACCGGTTTCACTGACAGGGCTCAGCTTAAGCCAGGAGGAGGCCTGAATGTGGACTAGTTAAACTACAACATTTAAGTAGCTTTCATGAGTGTGGCTTAAACTTGGTTTAGTTAGTCGGAGACTACGGAGTCCTGGAGTAAGGTAAGTGGGACTAAAGGAGAACAGCTGCATTAAGCCTCATTAGGTTCAGTATGAGCACAGGCTGTTGGTCTAATGGTGCTCATAAAACCTGGAATGGAATAGAAAACACCATTACTGCTGTGAATCTGGAGCCAAAACAACAGCAGAGGCAGAAAGAATTAGTTCCAAAAACTTAACTGAGAGTAAATAAACCAATACTGTGTGAACAACATTAGCCATAATATATGGCCTTAAAAGCACATCATCTAGTTGAAGTAGTGCGATGTGAAAGCAACTGTGTGCAACTACCTGGGCACATCAGCTGACAGCCAATCACTGAAGTGCCCATATTCATACAACTGGACTTTATAGTTGCCCCGAAACTCCAATGATTGACCTTCAGTGACCTTCACTGACCTCTGACCTTCAGTGACCCTGTCCTCCTGTTGCAGGTGTGTCTGTGCTGCTGCTGTCTGCACTGACTGTTTCTGCAGGTGAGCTGATGGAAGTGAAACAATCACTGACATTAAATCATAATAATAATAATAATAATAATAATAATAATAATAATATACATTTAACCTGTCTCTCTCTCTCTCTCTCTCTCTCTCTCTCTGTCTGTCTGTCTGTCTCTGTCTGTCTGTCTGTCTGTCGTCCAGTCTCTCTGGAGGTCAGTCCCAACCGTCCTCAGTTCTTTAGAGAAGAGTCAGTCTGTCTGAAATGTGTTGGAGATGGACAGACAGCTGATGGATGGACGGTGAAGAGGACAGCAGGAGGACACAATGAGGACTTTGGGAGCTTTGATGGTTCCTGTTACAACATATCGTATCTCTCCCAGTCAGACACTGGAGTTTACTGGTGTGGAACCAGTTCTGGACAGAAGAACAACCAGATCAACATCACTGTAACTGATGATAGAGGCAAGTTGTTCTTCTGTTCACTAACTCTGTCTGTATATGGCTCTGGTCTGATGGTCTAACTCTGTCTGTATATGGCTCTGGTCTCATGGTCTAACTCTGTCTGTATATGGCTCTGGTCTGATAGATTAACTCTGTCTGTATATGGCTCTGGTCTGATGGTCTAACTCTGTCTGTATATGGCTCTGGTCTGATGGTCTAACTCTGTCTGTATATGGCTCTGGTCTGACGGTCTAACTCTGTCTGTATATGGCTCTGGTCTGATGGTCTAACTCTGTTTTTCTTTCTTCTTCAGGGGTTATTCTGGAGATTCCTGCACTTCCTGTGATGACAGGAAGTGATGTCACTCTGCGCTGTAGAAACCTAACTCTGTCTGTATATGGCTCTGGTCTGATGGTCTAACCTTTGTCTGTATATGGCTCTGGTCTCATGGTCTAACTCTGTCTGTATATGGCTCTGGTCTGATGGTCTAACTCTGTCTGTATATGGCTCTGGTCTGATGGTCTAACCTCTGTCTATATATGGCTCTGGTCTGATGGTCTAACTCTGTCTGTATATGGCTCTGGTCTGATGGTCTAACTCTGTCTGTATATGGCTCTGGTCTGATGGACTAACTCTGTCTGTATATGGCTCTGGTCTTATGGTCTAACTCTGTCTGTATATGGCTCTGGTCTGATGGTCTAACCTCTGTCTGTATATGGCTCTGGTCTGATGGTCTAACTCTGTCTGTATATGGCTCTGGTCTGATGGTCTAACTCTGTTTTTCTTTCTTCTTCAGGGGTTATTCTGGAGCTTCCTGCACTTCCTGTGATGACAGGAAGTGATGTCACTCTGCGCTGTAGAAAGAGAGGTGTCTCCACGTTCGAAGCCTTTTTCTTCAAGAATGGAGTCCACATTGGATCTGGACCTGAAGGACAGTTTACCATCAGTAAGGTCCAACAGTCTGATGAAGGTCTCTACTGGTGTTTTATTGATCGGACTGTGAACTCTTCTCGGAGCTGGCTGAGGGTCAGAGGTCAGGACACTGATATTACTTCCTGTTTAAAGATATGAACTAACCTGCTGACCTGATAATAAACTGATGACTGAACTGAACCAGGTTCTACTCTTTTCTCCTACAGGTCCTCCTGCTTTAACTACTCTTCCTCCTCCTCCTGTAACCTCCTCTCCTCCTCCTCCTCCTCCTCCTCCTGCAGACTCCTCCCCTCCCTCCTCTGTCCTCCTCCCAGTTGGAGCAGCTGTTGGTTCTCTGGTTCTGGTTCTGGTTCTGGTTGGAGTTGTGTAGCACTGCAGGAATCAGTCAGGTATGAAAGCTGTCAGACTCATCCGATATGAACAGACTGGAACCAGACTGGGTCTGATTGATCTGACAGAAAGGATTGTTCACACTTCATCCAGAAAATGATGTATGCTGCTCTAGGCCTAGACGATCGGGGGATTTCCCATGATGCACTGAGCTCCTCTCTCCCTCTCTCTTTCTGCACTCATTCATGTCCCATTAATGCATGTTACTCATCTCGCAGGTTCTCATGGATCCTGGTGGAGCCTCCTGCCATGGTCCTGCTTGACTGCCATTGCTAATATCACTGATATTATTGTTGTTATTATTATTATTATTATTATTATTATTATTACTACAGTTACTATTATTACTATTGTCACTGCTCATTGTCGCCCATCGTTGTCGTCGTCATCATCTTCTTCATGTTGATCATCATCAGTCACTACTATTAGTGTAGTTGTCGTTACCTCTAATGTTATAAAGAGTTCGGTCTAGACCTGCTCTATTTGAAAAGTGTCCTGAGATAACTTCTGTTATGAATTGGCACTATACAAATAAAATTTAATTGAATTGAAATGTATAGGCAAAGAAAAACATATTATTGAAAAGAAATCATCAAACGGGTTGGACCTCTCCTGAAAACATCTACAGCGACATCAGTGGTTCCAGTTAACTTTCCAGTTATATTCCAGATAAAAACCAATAGAAAGCTGACTCACTAATTATTTTTAATAGGACAACGTTTTGATCCCAGATGGATCTTCATCAGATCATAATGTTTGGAAGACTTGAAACTACGGCTATATTCATACATTGGACTTGGTCTAAAAGTAATGAAACACTAACTGATCACAGTATAAAGAGTTAGCTAGCCACTATAACCTGTTCGCTCTTTAGCATCAGGCAGTTTGTCCCATTAATATCATACATGAGTTTATTTTTTCCAAAACCCCCATTGTCACAGTTGGTAGCACAATACAAATGACCAAAAAGATTTAATCTTACCAAAATGGTAAATGTGATCCAGATTTGTTTTTTTGTGTCTTTGTCAGACTTGAATTTGTTTCCATCCAGCACAGAGAGTAAATATTACTGCAATAAAGGGAAAAGAAAATATAGAGCGAGCAGGCTAAAATTAGGAATCTAGAAATCCCTCTGAAGGAGGCTCCAGGACTGACGCTGTTCCTTGAGTGAGTTACAGGTTTATTAGGTTACTATTACACTGGGGTTGAGAGGCTGGGAGGATGTGTTAATTTACACTAGATTAGAACCATTATCATTAGTCATTAGTTGGAGACTCAGTGTAATTATACTGCATGGTTGTACTCTTACACTGACTGTAGCTGTGCAGTGTTGGAAGCAGACCGGAGGGATGCAGCAGAAGAGACTACAGACCTGACACAGACTCTAGCTCGGAGAGTTGTTAGCAGCTCCGGCTTTTACTGCTGTTTCCTGCTACTGCTTTATTTCTACATGGGGAGGAGTATAATGACAATAAAGATCATTCATTCATTCATTCATCTTCTCATCTGGTCCCGATCCAAGAGGCGGAGCTGAATGAAGCCTGGTTTCTGAAAACATGATGAGTGGTTGTAGCTTTGTGCAGGACGCCTGTTGTTGTGTGAAGAACCGCATCTGTAAATTAATGGCTAATTGCTAATGGCTAATTGTTGGTATGGGCGAGCTAGCTTGCTGCAGCCTTGCTGCGGCTGAAGACTGAGCTGACGTCAGTTTATAGTTCTATAACTTTTAAAATTCAGATTAAAATAATAATAATCAAATATTAACAGTATTCTTCTTTAAGCCTGATTAATTGTAAGAGAGAGGGATTTATACACTTCTCGTCAAACTCTAAAGTGACAGGTACCACGCCCCTTTCCACGCCCCTTTCCCCCGCTTACCCATTATGCCAGGTCAAAAAGGTCAAATCAATCAATCAAAATCTGACACTTCAAGGGGTGTTTTTAAGGGGTCTAATAAATTGATATTACAGATGTCTCAGCCCCCCATCCAGATGGTGAACATATTTTTAAGATAAAACAGTCAATAGATTGTACACACCTTTAAACCTTTAAAACTCAAGTGTGAACAAAGGACAGAGATTGTGTCTAAGTGCAGAGTCAGCAAAGAGTTCACCATCAATCCACAATGCTACAAGAAAAGTTTTACGATTGTGAAAAAGAGAATATACCAGAAGATGAGATGTCTGTGATTTGCGAGACACCAGTCACCATCTACCGGCAAGTGAGAGGGCCTCCTCCCGCACCGAGGAAAAGTATGGTGTATGTACAGCGTACACAGGCTCCTCCAAAGGAATCTCAGGGAGAACAATGGTCTTTACTGCAGCATGGATCGTCTGGATGTTGGGGGTATGTGTTGAGTATGAAGAGGGCGAGCTCTGGTTGTACCAGCTGGGTGATGATGAAAAATTGAATTTGATGAAAAATGTGGTGACTCTTACCTCCAACGACTGGGCCGTGTTGAGGCTAGTGATGTCTGAACAGCCCTCGGATGAGGAACAAGTGAGAACAGATCCTTCCATCGTTGTACCAGAGTCTGGTGTCGTTTCTAGGGCTGTCTGGCAGGCGAAGATATCTGGTTCCAGTCAATGGTTCATACGCGCCGCTATCCAAGCATCTAGGGAGAAGCCTCTTGAGGAGGATTTTTTCCTAGAGTATTTTAATACGGACTGCTGTGTATTCCGGCCTGTGCTAGCCATCCCTTTAGCTGCTTGGCTAGAAAAGATGAATGAAATAGTATAGAGAATCACAACACTCTTCCATAGCAGTTGTAATTGGAATGACACTTTGAAAGTGAGAAAAAAGCTGACGTTCTAAGCCACACCCTTGACCGCCCACTACCGCCCCCTGACCGCCCCCTGACCGCCCACTACCGCCCCCTGACAACCCACCACCGCCCCCTCTCCGACCACTATCCCGTCTTCAAAGGTTTAAAAAAGGAGTAACACAGCATCCTTGATCAAGCCGCTCCAAAACAAAAAAAGAAGACATGGCCACCATCAACGGACAGCAGCGTCGGATCGCCACTATCTGGACCCCCTTTTCAGACATCCCTGAAGATTCAACCTCCGGGTCCGTTCGCAGACACTCGGCCGATGGATCCACCTGTAACCTCAGCACTGTTTTGGAGGAACCCCAGGACCCTGCCTCTCCAACGCTGTACGACTCGCCATGCTGCACCCCTGGTTCATACGCAGATGGGACCCAGGATTCGCAGGTCTCAACCCACGATCCCTCCGATGCTGGAGGGTTGGTCCAGAGCCCTGGCTATCCACCAACCCCAGAGAACTCATCCTGTGATTCCGACTGTGTAGACATGGGTGATTCCCAGCCTCCCACACCTCCACGGCCGGCACCAGAGTATCCAACCCTCTTGAGCTCTGTTTCTTTGACTCCACCACCATCACCACCTCCTCTGTGGGATGAGGAAGAACCGGCGGACGAAATCGACGGCTGGCTATCTAGTGCTTTCTACGGTACTGTAAAAACGGCCGTGCTGCATCTGCTCGTCATCACCATCAACAAGTACCGCACTGCCAACTGCTACGGATGTCAAACCAGCCACCCCAGCCAGAAAGAACATCCGTGTTTGGAACCGTTAGATGATGTCTACTATAGCATCAACTTTCAAGGTTTGATGAAGATGCTTTACAAGCCTAAATTCATTCCTGCAGTTCAGTGTCTGTTGAATATGCATAACCTTCCATCTGATGAAGTTAGAGTCAGGGCCGCTGCTGAGATGATTCTACACAATCTGAAAGATGTGGATGCGACCTCTAACAGCATGTTTGATCATTAAGGTGCCAAAACGATATGCATGCAGCTCAAGTCGGTCACTAGGTGTTGGGGATTGTGATTTTATAAACAAATATTTTGAAAACAAAGAAAAAAAAAGGAGAAAAAAAAGGAGTTTTCCTCCACAAGAAGTGTGCACTCTCATGGATCCTGTACTTTTATACTTATTTTCATACTTGTTATTAGAACTGAAAAGTTTATAGCGTGTGTTTACTATTCTTTAAATTTTTATACTTGTTATTAGAACTGAAAAGTTTATAGCATGTGTTTACTATTCTTAAATTTTCATACTTGTTATTAGAACTGAAAGTTTATGCATGGTTTACATTCTTTATTTTCATACTTGTTATTAGAACTGAAAAGTTTATAGCGTGTGTTTACTATTCTTTAAATTTTTATACTTGTTATTAGAACTGAAAAGTTTATCTTGTACTTTTATAACATGTGTTTTTGTATTTGTGACTATGCAAACCTCTAATAAAATAACTTGTACATCGTATTTTTCTCTCATTCCGTTTTCAACATGTCTGAGAAACGTTTCATGAAAAAAGTGTATTACGATCCTAGCCATCCAGGGAGCTTTGGAGGTGTAGAACGACTACGTAAAAATTTTCAAGATGAAACATGTGAGAGGGTAGGAGTTGAAAAATGTCTTTTTATCAGAGCAGGATGCTTACACTCTACACAAACCAGCCAGAGTACATTTTATTAGAAACAGAGTTTTTGTACCTCGTCCTTTAAACCAATTTCAAGCAGATCTGTGTGTTATGCAAGCTCTGTCAGAATATAATGACGGGTATAATTATTTATTAACGGTCATAGATGTGTTTTCCAAGAAGGCTTATGTACAAGCTCTGAAGAGAAAAACAGCCGTTGAGGTGGTAAAGGCTTTTGAATCTATTTTTGAAGAAAGTCAGACGCCTGTAAAACTACAAACTGGGGAAAGAATTTTTTAACAAGGCTTTTAAGGCTTTGATGAAAAAACACAGTATCATACATTTTTCCGCAGCCAGTGATCTCAAAGCCTCTGTGATTGAAAGATTTAATCATACTTTAAAAAGTAGAATGTGGAGATACTTTACGGCAAACAACACCATGCGCTACCTCGATGTCTTACAAGACTTGTTGAAAAGCTATAATCACAGCTATCACAGCAGTATTAAAATGAAGCCTATGCAAGTGACCTCAGAGAATGCCTTCCAAGTGTTTCAAAACCTGTACGGTACATCCTCAGCCACTCAGAGAGGTGAATTAAAAATGAATTTTAAAAAGGGGGATCAAGTCAGAATATCAAAAGTGAGGGGGGTGTTTGATAAAAAATATGAACAGAGTTTTACGGACGAGGTGTTCACAATACACGATTGCATTCCTCGTGACCCACCTGTTTACAAACTGAAAGATTATGATGATGAGATCATACAAGGTTCCTTTTATGAGGCAGAGTTGCAAAAAGTAAAAGCGTCTAAAGACAAAGTCTACTCTGTAGAGGAGATATTGAAACAACGTACAGTCAGAGGTGAAGAGCAAGCTTTTGTACGTTGGAAAAACTGGCCTGAAAAAATTCAACAGCTGGGTCAAGGTTTCCGCTTTAAAAAATATATAAAAACCTAGGTGTACACAAGAGTTGTGTATTATTCCAACATGTACGGTCCGAAGGATAAGGGGGTTTTTCTTCACCCTGCCTTCCAACGCTAGCTTAGACGTTTTCAAAGATAACACGATCGCCAGTTACAGGGTGGATTTAGCACAACATATTGATTTAAAAGGAGAATGGGAGGTTGCTCTGACAGAGATTTCATACCCGCACACGTGGTATAACGTACTACCGGATGAAGCATACTTTCTTTGGAGGGAAAAGCCCAAAGAACCCACGACCGAATCTAAAGTACATATAAAAAAGTTTAAAGGGGGACATTATGGAAGCTTGAACCAGTTTAAAAAAGAGATGGACCTTTATTTAAGGCAAATTAATTCTGATATCTATCTAAATTTTACGAATCTCAAAGAGATTTGAAATGCAAGCCGGTGGTCAAACATTTGCTTTGATGACCCATGTCTTACTTGATGGGTTCGTCCTGGAGAATGGTTCAAATGTGATCGATTAACAGCGCCTCTGCCAGCGGATGTCAGCGCGGGATTTTACCACATATACTGTTGTAGCGATGTTGTACAGCCCCAGCTGGTTGGTGATGCTCATGCTCCACTCCTCAGAGTGGTAGATATCAAGGGGTCTTACGGTAGTACGATAACAGAGCGCTTCAACCCTGCTTATTATTTACCGGTGTCCAGACAACACATTGAAAACATTCATATTGAGCTAAAATCGGATCAAAACAAGCCGATAAGATTTATGTATGGGAAGACTATCGTAACGCTTCACTTTAGACCAAAAACTTAAAAAGGCAACGTCTACACGTACATCATTCAGTATCGCCCGAGCAGCGACAGTAACGGTAAGTAATAAGACGCATTACACATTAAAAAATGGCGTTGGTAAGCATGAGAGAGGATCCTCACCGTTTTGTAAATTATTATGAGAGTCAAGTAGGTGGGGCTTTACCCGGATTTTATGGGGCACCTGTTATGTATGGACGTGGCTTAGGATGTCTATTCTCCAAATTGTTTCGCTTTGTGGCCCCTCTGGTAAAGAGAGGTTTTTCTATAGCCAAACCACATCTTAAGGCGGCTGCAGGCCGCATTGCTACGGATGTGTTTAGCCGTGCTGCTGGGAGGTCCAACGATCAGACGCAAGAGGGTTCAGGCGGTATTATGGTCGCGCAGGAAGAGGAGGCGACCCCCAGGGGTACGTTCCGGTTCTAATAAAGGCACAAGCTCTAATAAGAAAAGATCAGTCTTGAACGGTAGGCCGTGACGGAGCTCTGATATATTTGAATGATCAGTACAATATTACATTACAAAAATACAAAAACAAAACATGGCTCTTTTGCATCAGAAATCTCCAGGGTGTACTCTGGCAGAGCTGGATTTATTTTCAGCCCCTATGACGCAGCTTTCTATCGATGATAAAATCTATACAGAAATTTCCCCCGTGTCAGCCATCACAGACGGGGGTCCTATAGAGTTTTTCATACCTGGAGACGGTGAGAAGTATCTGGATCTAAACGACACCCTTTTGCATCTCCGCGTGAAAATCACCAACGCAGATGGCACAAACCTGGCTAACGACGCGGCAGTGGGTCCCATCAATTACCCTCTAAATAAAATTTTCAGCCAATGTGACGTTATTCTGGGGGATAGATTAATTTCACAATCCAGCGCCACACATCCATACAGAGCCATGATTGAGACTCTGCTCAACTTTTCAGCGGATACTCTCAAGAGTCAGTTCACAGCGGGTCTATTTTACAAAGATACAGCGGGGGCTATGAACTCCATAGTCGTCGATGACGGCCCTAATGAAGGTTTGAACAAGAGAGCCGCTTTCACGGCAGTTTCCAGAGAAGCACATCTGCTGGGTCCTCTGCGCGGGGACATATTTTTCTGCGAGAGACTTTTGTTAAACTCTGTTGACTTGAGAATCAAGCTGACCCGAGCCAGCGATGCTTTCTGTCTCACAGCAGCTCACGACTCTACCTTCCGTCTGAAAATAATGGGGGCCTCGCTGTTTGTTAAAAAAGTCACTGTGGCTCCAGCCGTCCGCTTAGGTCATGCAGCTGCCTTAATGAAAGGCAATGCACTCTATCCGCTTTCAAGAGTTAATGTGAAAACATACTCTATCCCTGCGAACTCTAGGATATGCAACCAGGAGAATCTCTTTCTGGGTGTCATGCCTAAATATATAGTCTTGGCCATGGTACACATGAGGCTTTCACAGGCAGAAGAGACCTATCCCCCTTTGATTTCATGCACAATGATGTAGAATATCTGGCTCTCTGTCAGAATGGCAGACAGCTTCCTGCTAAGGCACTCCAGCCCCAATTTAACAACGGACAATCAGTCAGAGAGTTTTACAACATGTTTTTGTCCACCGGAAGACATCTTAAGGATTTACCCCTGAGCATCAACCGTGAAGAATTTAACGCAGGGTATACGTTGTTTGTGTTTAGTCTCACAACAGGCGATGACATTGACGCCCTTTCCCCTGTCTCAAACGGTAATTTGAGACTGGAGATGAGATTCAGAGCACCCCTGCCACAAACCACTACGCTCATATTCTACGCCTGTTAGGATTCGGTTCTAGAGATCGACTCTAAAAGACAGGTTCTGGTGGATTATTATTAAAAAAGAAACATGGATACTCTTCAAATAGAAAATATTTTACACTGTTTGCTGGGAGATGGATTTTGTGGCGTGTGGGCCGCCGATCAGCTTCCCTTGTTGAATTCATCCTTTAGGCTTCCTGCCTACTTCATAGTCAACACACATCCGGCCCATATGCCAGGGGAGCACTGGTTAGCTTTAACACTGGAAAAGAACGACGGAGCTACCTTTTTTGATTCTTATGGTTTTTCACCAGTGACCGATCACTACCCCTCAAGTATCTTACAGTTTTTGGAAAAACGTTCTGAAAACATCATGTACCATGATAGACAACTGCAGCACATCCTGTCAAACGTCTGCGGTCATCATTGCATCTTTTATCTCTGCCATAGGGCTTGCGGTTTATCTCTCGACAATGTATTATCTTTGTACAGCGATGATGTGCTGAAAAATGACAATATGGTGTACAACTTTGTGAGAAAATATCAACGTTGTGTCAAAAGTAAAGACCACACTACCTCAAAACAGGGTAGTTGTTCCTTACAATTGTTTAAGGATTGTTACAGATTTTGATTATTTTGCTTACTCTTGTGCTGTTGTTTTTTGATAAAATAGACTGTAGACTTTGAAAATGTGTTTGATAAAAACTTTATTGATGAAAGACAAAAATAGTTTGCGTTACAATTATTTATGAAATATCCATCCATCGTGGGGATAAATTTATTTTCCTTCTTCGTGTTTTAGCACCGAGTAGTTCTGACTGCTCTTCTGACACCTCATCTTTATCCGAGCTTGTAACCCACGGTGGGCTAGCCTTATATTTCTTCTTCTTCTTCTTCTTCTTCTTTTCAGAACTTTTAAAACTGATATTTTGAGAGTCGCCAGTGTACGTTTTAATGTTACGGTACTGTTCACGAGCACGAGGATTATTCACAGAGGATAAAGGGATGTTCAGTTCTGACAGAGTATTTAGAAATTCTGACCAGCCTGCGGGGGGTGGGGTTTGTGTTTTTGTTTTTTTATAAAGGTAACGAAAGATGTTTGAATAAATCAATCATATGAGATCCCTTCATGCTCTTTCCCCTATAAAAAAATTCACCCTTTGAACTCCACCCATCTGTGCTTTCGTATAATTTATTTAAGATATATTCCGCTTTCTTGCGCTCTCGCGGGGGTAGACTTTTCAAAACCTCATCGACCGTGTGATCCAACCCGGCGGGTACCTGAGCATCTTGAGACGTTTGTACGTTAGTGTCTAAAAGCTCAGACTGATCATTCTCCTGTCCCCTCTGTAGAGTCAGAGTCACCCTCTGTCCGTCTCTCTGATCCTGCTTGGAGAAGGCCAAATATCTTTGCAGTAAAGGAAGTACACCCGTCCTCAGTCTGTACCGTTCTGGACAGGTGGGCGTGAGATCTACTATTAAATACCCATGAGGCTCGGTGGTAGCATCTTCAAAACTCTCTAAGAAATATGCCTTTTGGGATGGAAAGATTTGATGCGCTAATATATTCATTTGTAATTTATCCTGGGGATTTTTAAACATCACCAAATAATTGCTGTTCAAACTAATGGTGCGACTGTGTTTGCCCTGATGAAAAACGTTTTGTGTCAACATCATGACGCTCATGTTTCTGTGATGTCTGTACTGTGTAAAAATCTTGACCACTTCAGGATGGTTGGAGGCTTGAAAAATAACATCGTCCAAAATAATCAGATGTGTTTGTTCGGGAAGGAACAGGTTTTCATCTTCAAAAGAATCAGGTAGTCCTTGAACAAATTTAATCTTTTTATTCATCCTTTGCAATTCATTGTACATATGTTGAAAGGAGGTATAAATCCATACAATATTTTCAGGTACAACATTCATCACACGTTCACAGTTTTGTAATACATTTTTTACAAAGTAGGTTTTCCCACAACCGCTGGGACCTACAATCATACAGGAAAAAGGGAATATGAAACGGGTTTCAAAATCAATTTCCTCCATAACAGCAAGTCTGAAAAAATAAAATAAAATAAAAAATCTAGTTTTAATGACCAAAAGGTAGAGTTGTACCGTCAGCAAAGAGACGCCTTTTGTCATACACCACTCTAAACTTTTTCCGGAATGACAAGTTTTTTAACACAAAACCTCTTTTATCACGAGTGATTGTGTGCTGCGGTACTTCAATCACACCTTGTCTTGAATTTTGGATGTACCCCTCCACCAGTTCTCTGACGCTGTCAAAGTTTACCACCTCACAACACTCCTGCGTTTGTGTAATGCCTTTCTCTTGGATTTAGTTTGGTTGGCGTAACTCTTGGGACCCGCTGCTACAAACTCCTGAATACTGTCACCATCCAATTCATCGGTCAGATCAGATAGTTACCCACTTCCAGAGACGTCTCACCCTCCTTCACTACATAGATTAAGCTGTCTGTGTCAATGTAGAGAACTCTCTCTTGCAACTTCTCCAGACATTCGTACAGTTTGAGGCGTGCATGTGCTGTGGTGAATGCTGCAACAAATATGTCACTCTGCTTCCCGGGGGGATGTACACAGCTATCTCCATCGCATTAAAGCCTTCTTGTCTGCAAGCAAATTAAAGAAGTCAACTTCATATAACCCTGAAAACAAGTAGCTGAAAAATTCAAACGCACCTTCAAATAGTCTTCTGGCGGCTTTACCACTTTGAGGTTTACATTGTGATCTTCCTCGGACCCTAAGGGGCCACGGTGTCTCTGGAACCACGAGAGGTGTGCGGGGTGCAGGTGACACAGACCGGCCTGGAAGAGCCTGAGATCCTGGGGTTGTTAACATGTATCTGGGGCTAGGTACTGCATGGACCTCAGCCCTGTGGTAACAGTTCTGTGGCCTGTTGGGGTATTTCATAACAAACATGTTTGTTAACCTGTTTCTACGCATGCGTGTGTATGCAACCTATAAGAATACAAGACGTCATCACGGCGGATGACGCTACAGACACGGTAACGTAATAATTGATTCATTTGAACGCTGGAGCGGCAAGGTTCAACAACCACCCTCAGACGAGTCAAAGCTCAAAAAACACACAAAAAGGCTTCAAACATTAAAAGTTCTCACTCTGCACGTCTGGTGATCCGTCGGCTTCAGGATCCGGGGTCCGCTGTTGGTTTTGCGGCCTCTCGCACCTCTGCAGCGGGGCCTCTGGAGAAGGATCACCACAGCTGTAGGAGCCTGATCCACACTACCGGGGCTGAGGGTGTCTCTCCTCTTTTTCTGTACCGGTGTGGCCGGGGATGCTGCTGGGGTATCCTCTTCACAAATACCACCAATTTCCCCGTGAAACACACAAGGATGTTGTCTTTTCTGGGGTGTTTTCGACCGCGTCGGCAGAGATTCAACACCGCTCCTCAGGTCTTCTTCAACCAGTGTTGGGGTTGTGGGTACCTGGATCCGATTGGGGGTCTGCAAGGCTTGATTTTCGGCTTCTTGAATGGATTCTAAGGCATTTCCATCCCAACTGTCCTCCAGGCCGTCACCCAAAGCTGTAAGTAGATTTTCACCGTTCATATTAGAGGGTTTTTAAATAGAATTAAAAAATTACATTTAAATAAAACAAAATGTACCTAACACAGTGTGTGTGGGTACGTAACCCGTATCTGCTACTATTTAAAAAGACAAATCAGTTAAGAGAAACAAGTTAATAAAATAAAAAATTAAAAAATATGTTAAAAGTTTAATATAATAAAACAAATAGAGCTTACTTACCAGTACAAGGTGCATATCGGAGATCCTCCTGGTTAAAGTTATCTTCAAAAATACACAAGTTGTATTTAATATATTAAGCAATGGTTAAATATTACAATGAAAATTCAACGGAGAAAAAGTTTTTGACCGCAAGACATGTCGTCAGTCTGGTGTGGTCCGCAACAGATAAACTCTCTTTAAGCAGGGGGTACTTATAACAGTTGCAACCGTATACAGACTATTGAGGCTGTTGTGTTAAAACGTTTACCATCTGGAGGTATGCGGTAGATGACGACCTCTGTAATATTAACTATTAGAACTCTTAACAAAGCCTCACTTCAGAGATTGGCAGAGTCCTGAAAGTATCCATCTAAGACACGTTTCATTACTTTATAGTACTTTATTACCCCCTGTCACTTATCATCGTACCATATAACAACAAAGTATTTTTAAAGTTTTAAAATAATTATCACTATATGTGTGTTAATCAACTATGCACAAACGAGAAGTAGATCCCTCTCTCTATTGTATTATAACAGTGTTCACCTGTATTTATAGCTCATTGCATTGTTTTACAGTGTGAATAACTTTAATTTAAGAAATCAAACAATACATGTATAATTAAATGAATAATAATATAATTTTTACGAGGGGTTATTTTCTGATATTTTACTTTATTTTTGGTGACCCAGCTGCCAGAATATTACACATATTACAGATCCATTACAGTTACATAAAGTAAAATGTAAAACACTGTGATCAATACTTCTTATTGAGCTTTCTGGTCTTTATTTGTTGTTGTTATTGTTGATGTGTAGTGTGTATATAATAATCAGTATAAGTATGAAGAATGAAACAGTGTGTAATAATCAGTGTAACAGAAGAACAAACACGTTGTGACACTGAAACTGTTTAACATGCTGAATGGAGAGAATCTAACGGTGTGAAATGATGAAGGAGATCTGATGGTACCAGGGGGCGGGGCCTGAGGCCGGACGCCATTAGGACACCAGTATGTTGGACTGGATGTTACTGGGTGGAGGTTCGGGTGTAATGGGTGGATGTTTGTGCTGTGTCAGATCTGTTCATCATCTCTTCTTCAGAAGTAATCAGAGTACTTTAACATTGTCATAAGTTACTGATTACATTTTAAACACAGGATTGTAGAATAAAGTGTTTATTCATTTATTGATAACAGACTAATATCATATTGTAGTATAAAATGAATGCAAGCTTGTGAACACTAAATGATGGAAATCAAGTAAAGAGTCCGATGTTTAAAGTGCAGTTGATTTAATGTGAGCACACTGTTACTGAAGCAGTGAGCACCATGCTTTTAGTGAAAGGTTGATTTAATGTGAGCACACTGTTACTGAAGCAGTGAGCACCATGCTTTTAGTGAAAGGTTGATTTAATGTGTAGTTTTAATAAGAAACAGGTGATGTTTGTAGCAGGAGTATATGAATGATTGTAACACAAGCTTCTGGGCAGCAGTAGCTCAGTATGGGTTGAAGTCCCACAGACCACAATATGGAGTGTGGACTGGTAGCTGGAGAGGTGACAGTTTCACCTCCTGTGCACTGCCGATGTGCTCTTGAGCAAGGCAACCTAACCCCAAAACCTGCTCATGGGGCGTTGCTAACGTTGCAGCCCGTCACTCCACCATCTCTCTCTCTGTTTGCATGAAGTGTGTATGTCAGCCTGTGTGTGTGTGTGTGTGTGTGTGTGTGTGTATAAAAGAGTGAAAAGAACAATTTCCCCTCGGGGATCAATAAAGTATATCTTCCTGGTCATGTTATAAAGTTTATAAAGTTAAAATACAGTAAAAGATGTATGATATAATGGTGTAAGGAAATAGTAATAAAAGTAGAAGTACAGCAAATGATATTTTAATGGTGTAATCTTGGAGAAAGAAGAGTCAAAAGAAAATGTCAAGGCCAAGAAGCCTGAGAGTTTACTGATGAGAAAGCTGAGACGCAGCAGGTGCAGGAGCTGAACTGGACCTTTACAATGGAAAATCCCCAGTGTGGTGGATTTGTTTGGACATTTCCACCATTATGTCAGAGGTGGATAAAAGTGGGCAGGACTTATGAACACTGAGGAGTATAAAAGGAGAAGCTCTGAGAGGGAACCTGTTTGTCTGTTAAGATAATAAAGTGTTATTCTTTTCACCTGGAGAATAAAATATAAAATAACAATAATACTGTTTGACCTCATTTGGATTTAATAATCTGACAGTTGGATGTCATTTTCTGATCAAGAGAACCAACAATATGAACTCACATCAATAACCACGTGCTGCTGTGCGGTAGGGGGCGCTGTGCACACACAAGAGTTGACACTGCAAACACAAGGAAGCGGTAGAAGAGCTTTATTGTGAAAAACCTAGGCAGGAAGTTTGCTCAGCGCGGAGTTCTCGGTGGAAGGGGGTCCAACAGGTCTGCAGAAACAGGACTACAGTCAGGTCCAGGTCCGACCCGTAGACCCGGACCACACTGACCGGAGCAACTTACGGAAGTTTAACGGAAGTTTAACGGAATCTTTTTTTAGGGGCGGAGCTTGGTCGAAAAGGGACAACGCAGATGTGACGGTGAGTTTAAGAACCGACATGTCCACAGTGTCTGCCTCTCTGTCTGTCTGTCTCTCTGTCTGTCTGCCTCTCTGTCTGTCTGTCTGTCTGTCTGCCTCTCTGTCTGTCTGTCTGTCTGTCAGTTATCGAGGTCTTAATAAACATTAAAGTTTCAAACTGACTAACTAACGTTCAGCTTCTGGAAGCAGCTGTGATTTCCCATTGTTGAGGTTGACCGTGAACGTCTCTTTACCAACGTTGTTGAGATTGTAAATAAATAAAGTAACCGGATGTTTCCTCCTACAGATGAAGACTCTTCATCGATTCGTCGATCAGCACTAACACGGGGGGGGGGTAGATAATTTCTCTAAAATCCAGACCAGGCCTCTATTGGAGACCTGGTCTGTTAGAGACCCTGCTGTTATGTGTGTGTGTGTGTGTGTGTGTGTGTGTGTGTGTGTGTGTGTGTAAGTGCTGAGTGGGAACACCGATCATCTGACTCTTTATAATACAATAAATTGTAGCAGCGGTGGCAGGGTCCGGGCGGTGGCAGGGTCCGGGCGGTGGCAGGGTCCGAGGGCCGGCAGGGTCCGAGGGCCGGCAGGGTCCGGGCGGTGGCAGGGTCCGAGGGCCGGCAGGGTCCGGGCGGTGGCAGGGTCCGAGGGCCGGCAGGGTCCGGGCGGTGGCAGGGTCCGGGCGGTGGCGGGTCCGGGCGGTGGCAGGGTCCGAGGGCCGGCAGGGTCCGAGGGCCGGCAGGGTCCGGGCGGTGGCAGGGTCCGGGCGGTGGCAGGGTCCGAGGGCCGTCAGGGTCCGAGGGCCGGCAGGGTCCGGGCGGTGGCAGGGTCCGAGGGCCGGCAGGGTCCGAGGGCCGGCAGGGTCCGGGCGGTGGCAGGGTCCGGGCGGTGGCAGGGTCCGAGGGCCGGCAGGGTCGGGCGGTGGCAGGGTCCGAGGGCCGGCAGGGTCCGAGGGCCGGCAGGGTCCGGGCGGTGGCAGGGTCCGGGCGGTGGCAGGGTCCGGGGCCGTCAGGGTCGGGGCAGGGTCCGGGCGGTGGCAGGGTCCGAGGGCCGGCAGGGTCCGAGGGCCGGCAGGGTCCGAGCGGTGGCAGGAGGTCTCACAGGATCCAGTTCAGTCCCATTTTAACGAGGTTCAGACTCCAGAGCTCTCTTCTGGGTGTCCAACGGGTCCTTTAGAGGGTTTCTGGTGAACTGAACCGGGTTCTGTCCACTGTCCAAGGTCACTGTTTAAAAAGAGTCCTCTGTCTCTGTCTGCAGGACATCTCGTCCCTCCTCAGCATGGAGACGCCAGCAGAGCCCGGAAACAGCTTCAGTCAGCAGGTAATTCAAACTGTGGTCAATGACGCCAGTGGTGGTGAAGACAACAACTCCCATAATCCCACGCTGCTTCCTGTTTCATTACTGTTTGGATGTGAGAGCCCCCTAGTGGCAGACACTGCACACTGTTTCAGTAAAAGTAATCAGAGTAAATAGTCCTCTGCTCTCTGTCCTCTGCTCTCTGTCCTCTGTCCTCTGCTCTCTGCCCTCTGTCCTCTGCTCTCTGCCCTCTGCTCTCTGTCCTCTGTCCTCTGCTCTCTGTCCTCTGCTCTCTGCTCTCTGCTCTCTGTCCTCTGCCCTCTGTCCTCTGCTCTCTGCTCTCTGTCCTCTGCTCTCTGTCCTCTGTCCTCTGTCCTCTGCTCTCTGTCCTCTGTCCTCTGCCCTCTGCTCTCTGTCCTCTGCTCTCTGTCCTCTGTCCTCTGTCCTCTGCTCTCTGCCCTCTGCTCTCTGCCCTCTGTCCTCTGTCCTCTGCTCTCTGCTCTCTGCCCTCTGTCCTCTGTCCTCTGCTCTCTGTCCTCTGCTCTCTGTCCTCTGCCCTCTGCTCTCTGTCCTCTGCTCTCTGTCCTCTGCTCTCTGCCCTCTGCTCTCTGCCCTCTGCCCTCTGCTCTCTGTCCTCTGCTCTCTGTCCTCTGTCCTCTGCCCTCTGCTCTCTGTCCTCTGCCCTCTGCTCTCTGTCCTCTGCTCTCTGTCCTCTGCCCTCTGCCCTCTGCTCTCTGTCCTCTGCTCTCTGTCCTCTGTCCTCTGTCCTCTGCTCTCTGTCCTCTGCCCTCTGTCCTCTGCTCTCTGTCCTCTGTCCTCTGCTCTCTGCCCTCTGTCCTCTTCTCTCTGTCCTCAGTGCAGCAGCTGTGACGCGTCCTCGGCCAGATGTTGGTGTCAGGACTGTAATGAAGCTCTGTGTGACGACTGCGTGTCGGCCCATCGCAGAGTGACCGTCACCAGATCTCACCGGATCCTCAACCAGCCGCCGGCCGCCGGTCAGAGAGCGTCTGCTGCTTCAATCTGCATGCAAACATCCTCACAGTCCCTCACCAAACTTTATTTAAACAGGATTCTGCAACAGGACCAGATACAGACCCCCAAACACATTATCAATATAAATAATTCATTTCATCACATAATGCAGCCCTCATCTTCATCAGGATTCATGTTTGATTCATGGTGCAGCGAGTACACACAGACAGACAGACAGAAACACACAGAGAGACAGACAGACAGACACACACAGACAGACACACACACAGAAACACACACAGACACACAGAAACACACACAGACACACAGAAACACAGAAACACAGACAGAAACACACACAGAGAGACAGACAGAAACACACACAGACAGACACACACACAGACACACATAAAGATAGAAACACATAAAGATAGAAACACAGACAAACACACACACACAGACACACATAAAGATAGAAACACAGACAGAAACACACACACAGAGAGACAGACAGAAACAGACAGAGACAGACACACAGACAGACAGAAACACACACAGAGAGACAGACAGAAACACACACAGACAGAGAGACAGACAGACACACACACAGACACACATACAGATAGAAACACACACACAGACAGAGAGACACACAGACAGACAGACACACACAAACACACACACACACACACACAGACAGAGACAGACACATAGACAGACAGAGACACACAGACAGACAGACACATAGACAGACAGACAGACAGAGACACACAGACAGACTGAAAGACATAAATGTCACAATAACAACAATAATAGCTTCATCTGATCTGATGTGTCTGTCTTCCGTCTTCAGGAGGCGTCTCCACTCCTCCCATCAAGTTCTGCAGACTCCACCCGTCTGAGCCGCTCAAGCTCTTCTGTTTCACCTGCAGCCAGCTCACCTGTAGAGACTGCCAGCTCATGGCTCACATGAACCACAGGTAGTTTCAGCTGTGTGCCGGGGTCCGACAGCGACGATGAGGAGGGTTCCGATCTGGAGTTAACAGTGGGCGGTAATGTGAAGAAATGCTCAGTGTTTGTGTGACCTCCTCTTCCTCTCAGGTATCAGTTTGTCAGTGAAGCGTTGGACAACCTGAAGAAGCATGTGGAGGACCTGGTTCAGCCAATCAGAGCGCACAGAGACACCATCAGACAGAGCATACTGGACATGGAGACCAGGTAACGTAGGATGGTGAAGACCAAGAGATTCTCAGAGCTGTAGAGAATAAACAACAACAACAACAACAACAACCTGTGTGTGTGTGTGTGTTTCAGGAAGCAGGACGTTGTTCGCTCTGCGACTCAGCTGAGGATGGAGTTACAGCAGTCTTACAACATCTTAGTTCAACATCTGAAGAAGAGGATGGAGGACATTTTAGAAGACGTCAAGGTAAATGTCCACAGTCTGACTGTCAATACAGGATCAATATCATCTATAAAGATAGTGTGTGTGTACTCTGTGTGTGTGTGTGTGTGTGTGTGTGTGTGTGTGTGTGTGTACTGTGTGTGTGTGTACTGTGTGTGTGTGTGTGTACTGTGTCTGTGTGTGTCTACTCTGTGTGTCTACTCTGTGTGTGTGTGTGTGTGTGTGTGTACTCTTGTGTGTGTGTGTGTGTGTGTGTGTGTGTGTGTGTACTGTGTGTGTGTGTGTGTGTACTGTGTGTGTGTGTGTGTACTGTGTGTGTCTACTCTGTGTGTGTGTGTGTGTGTACTGTGTGTGTGTGTGTGTACTGTGTGTGTCTACTCTGTGTGTGTGTGTGTGTGTGTACCTGTGTGTGTGTGTGTACTCTATGTGTGTGTGTGTGTGCTGTGTGTGTGTACTGTGTGTGTGTACTGTGTGTGTGTGTGTGTATTGTGTGTGTGTGTGTGTGTACTGTGTGTGTGTACTCTATGTGTGTGTGTGTGTGTGTGTGTACTGTGTGTGTGTGTACTGTGTGTGTGTGTACTGTGTGTGTCTACTCTGTGTGTGTGTGTGTGTGTGTGTGTGTGTGTGTGTACTGTGTGTGTCTACTCTGTGTGTGTGTGTGTGTGTACTGTGTGTGTGTGTGTGTGTGTGTGTGTGTGTGTGTGAGCAGATGGTGTCGCAGACGGAGCTGGTTCTGATCCAGCAGAGGATGAGGAAGATGAAGCAGCTGCAGCAGAATCAACAGTCGCTGACTGAGACGGCAGAAAAAGCCCGAACCACCGACGACGTTCTGGCTCTGCTGTCCCACACGGTTCAGGTAGATCCACCACGCTACCGCTCACCTGATACCGGTCCTGATACCTGCACACAGCCCCTCAGTTCATCCCGTCTGAAACAAGCCCCACCCACTGGCTTCTGATTGGCCAACGGGCAGCACCCAGTGGTCTGGGCTCTGAGTCTGTCCACAGGAACACAACCTCCATCCACTCTCATTGTAGGAGGTCCTGGATCAGAACCAACGGATCCAGTTTTAACCGGGTCGTCTTTTTCCGTCTGCAGGTTAAATCCCAGCTGAAGGACCTCGTGGATCAGGACTCGTCTCCTCCTGAGAAGATGTCCGTGATGAACGTGGTCACTGATTCGGACTCTCTGAGGACGCTGTTCAGTTTCGGTAAGTGGAGTTAATAATGTTATTGGTGGTTAAAACAGCAACGACATTAAAGCTACAGAACCAACGAGGACGTACGGAACCAACAGCAGTAGTTAGAAGAACCGCACACACCAACGGTAGACTCACCATAACCAGGGCGGCTCGCCGTTAAAACCAGCAGAAACACTGCGAGTAATGAGGGACGCTGAACCTTCCTCCTCTCCTGTGCTGTAATATGCTAGCTGCTAGGCTAATCTATGCTAAGATATCGGCCGTCCACTCATCAGGAGGTTGCTGACAGTTTAGCATTTAGCTGTTTGGATCATGAAGAAGCCACTTCCTGTTGACGGCTGATTAATCGTCTATCGGAACAAAAGGAACGGAGGAAGTTGAGCGAGTCTTGCTCACATGTGATTGGAGCAATAAAAAGGGGGCAGGGCTTATGCATCACTAATGAGCGAGTAGGCTGCAGTCAGCTTCTATCAGCCAATAAGAACGAACATTACATCATCTGTAAGCTGCCTGTAGGTTTTAATAACTTTATTATTATCAACCACTCGAGTTGTAGCAGATTAAAGCTTTAACACACAACAGGAACTGACTCCAACGTCTAATGAGGACGTGTTTAACGTCGGTGACATCACATTCATTCAGTGTTCTGATTGGCTCCTGATGAACGCTGTTTACAGGTGCTGACTGGATGTTTCTGTTTCCAGGTAAACTTAATGTTTCCTGGGTCCCCTTCTCTGTCTCTCCAACCTCCAATCAGAGCAGAGACACTCCAGCCTCCTCCTCCTCTCTCCCTCCCACCTCCCTCACACTCCTCCCCCAAACCAGCACCACCTTTAACTCCCCTGTTCCACCGGCTCCAACCACCTGCTCTACATTAATGTCTGCATCCAACCAATCCCGTTCTCCTGTGACCGCCGCCTCCTTCCGACAACCGTCGTCCTCCACTGCAGAGACATTGTCTAACCCGGGGAGAGACCCAACACGGGGGCAGACGAACCAACCGGTCAGTTTGGGTTTCTACTCGTCGGCCGGCCCGTCTCCGTCCTGTAAGGTTGTCAAAGTCATCCAACCGTCGGTGGGTCCGAACCAACCGGCCGCTCCCGGTCCGCCGACAAACGTTCACACTGTGTACCGGATGTCCTACGTGCCTGAGTTCCTCAGTCCGGCTGCATCCAAACCCAGTGACACTACCTCACAGAAGAGCCTGTTCCATCTGTTGCCCCCTCCTTCCTCCTCCTCCTCCTCCCCCTCTCTCACTCTTTCTACCTCCACCTGTCTTTCACCCTCCCGTGGGACCCTCCCTCAAACCGGGAACACCTGTGACTCACCTGTTCCGGTCCACTGTCCGTCTACATCAAGGTCTCCGTCCAGTCAGTCTGATGCTTCCGGGATGTCGACCACCAAACAACATCCATCCTGCGACACTCTGAGGACGTCTCACCTGGAGGAGAAGCGAAGTCAGGTGTCCACCTCAGTGATCGCCACAGGAGACCAGATCTCTGTCGGACTGGGTCCCACAGCGCCACCCAGCGTCCCTCTGTCCTGCTCCTCTCCGAACCACCAGCCTCAGAGTCCCGTGGTGAGGGCGGTGGCGGACTCCGCCTGTGACCGCAGCGTGCAGCAGGTCGCAGCAAGGCGGCAGGAACCTGCGGAGAACGAACCGACGTCCACTGTGTCTGAAGAAACCGAGCCTGCTGGGAAACTGCCTGCAGCTGAGGAACCGAGCTCTGTGATTGGACGGCCGGATTGCAGTCTGAGCCAATGGCAGCCCACAGTGCCTCTGTTCAGACTGCCTGTGTCTATGCCCCCCCCCGGGTGTCCCCTCCCTGGGTTTCGTCTGGTCCTCGGCGATGCTGAAGATGAGATTTACCTGGAAGAGATGAGTGAGGACTCTCAGGTAGGAAGCTGTGAAGGTCTGCCCCCCCCCGTCAGGTTCACAGTGTCTTTACTATAAAGTAATAACTCACAGTAGGATGAGCCAGAACCTACTGAAGCCCTGAAAGGCAAGTGGTCGGATTTTATTTGTAAAAACATAAAGGTTCTCTTTGTTTCAGGACTTTTTTAGGTTCAAAGTTCATAAGAAACAAAAGAAGTCATTATTATGTTTGTATTTTAAAAGTGTATAACCTGAAGGCCCGGACACACCAACCCGATTATCGGCCGTCGGGCGAGGTCGGTGACTCGAGTCGGTTCAGTGTGTCCCGTGCCGTCGTCAGTCGGAGTCGGAGTTCATTTTGGCTTATTCGACATGTAGAATCGGCCAGTGGCCGCCGGCCTCAATGACCAATCTGATTGGTGGAGTGCTCGCCCTTGACTAGCGAATCAGTGAGTGCACGAGAAAACCGGAAGTGACGATGGTAAACATACTACGCCAACGGCAGTATCTTGTTATTATTAACCATCGTATTTTCTGTTCAGCTAGTAATGACAATAACGATCCTTCTTGACTACTATCAACACTCTCTGATGAAAACAGTGACAGACGACAGCGTGCTCTGTGTCTACTAGGTCTACAGTGATCCATCATCTCCGGTTTTAATATTTTTGGGCGACAAAACAGATTAGCTCCGCCTGCTGTTATGGGGACGTATTACGCCTCGCGCACGCGCAGAACGTACGCTCCAGTCGGCGTCAGTTTCGTGTGTTCGGAGGCACTTTTTTGACCGACTCGGGGAGACAGGAGCCGACTGATCAGTCCGACTGCTTTTCTGCCGACGGTCGGCCGTCGGGTTGGTGTGTCAGCTGAGTGTGAGACAGGCGGAGATCAGCGAGCAAAGATGGAAGATTTAACATCCATAACCAAATCTGTTTACACCAGCGGGTCCAAACCTGGGGGCTGCGACCCCGACTAGGGCTTCAGGTTAAACTAAGGGTGTTTGTCCAGCAGTGTGCTCAGGTAACCAATCAGACGCTCCGCTCTCTTTTAGTCTCATGTTGATGATGTCACAGATGATGTCATTGAGCCGCCGGAGTCTCCTGTGACTCTGGTGATGGTTTCCTGCTCCGCCTGCGGGTCAGCCAACGCCTCCATCATCTGCTCAGCCTGCGGGCGGGGGTACCACCGAGACTGCCACGTTCCCCCTGTGGGACCGCACATGTGGTAACCACCAATAATCAGTCATCAATAGATCAATATATAACAAAACAACAACAACATCAACTGTCTGTCTGTCTGTCTGTCTGTCTCTCTCACAGGTCAGAGTGGATCTGTTCTCTGTGTCAGGACCTGTCAGACCCCTCAGACCCCTACAGCTCTGACAGACCACAAAGACCTCAGAGTCCCTGTCTGGGTCTGCAGGACCAGAGGGTCAGAGTGCACACACACACACACACACACACACACACACACACACACACACAATAATGTGACTGTACTAGATGAGCTGCACACTGACAGTATCATACAGTATGTTCTTACAGAGAGTCCTCTGTGTACCACCTCAAACCCTGTTGAATAACTGTGTGTGTGTGTGTGTGTGTGTGTGTGTGTGTGTGTGTGTGTGTGTGTGTGTCTGTTTGTGTGTTACAGAGGTGTGAGAGTCTGCTGCTGTATCTGAAGGTGGAAGGCTGCAGTCGACTGTCTGAGGTCAGTTTGTGCACCGGTCTCTGTATTAACTGATTGGATCAGCTTTATTGATCTGAAAGAATAAAAGAGTAGCAGTTTGTTTTCTAAAGAACATTCAGGAACATTTGATTTATATGTGTGTGTGTGTGTGTGTGTGTGTGTGTGTGTGTGTGTGTGTATATATATATATGCAATGGATTGATTTGAATAACCTTAATGTGGTTGAACTGTGTGTGACAGATAATCAATATTAAATAACTGATCTGATCAGGACATCCTACTGAGTCCTCTGTGCTAGTTACTGCTGAAAGGAAATCAATACTTGATGATGACTGTGATGATGATGATGATGATGACGGTGATGGTGATGGTGATGGTGATGAAGATGAAGATGGTGATGGTGATGAAGATGATGATGGTGATGGTGATGAAGTGTGATGTGGTGATGTGTGGGGTGATGGTGATGATGATGATGATGATGATGATGATGATGATGATGATGATGATGATGATGATGTTGTTTCAGTCCGGGTTTGTTTGGTCTCAGCTGACGTTGTTGTCGGAGCGTCTGACTCTCCACCGACCGCCTTCATATCCAACAGCTGCAGAGTTCCTGACCGACATCTGGATTCTGCTCCGAGACGCAGAGGTCAGATATAATACTACTACTACTACTACTACTAGTAATAATAATAATAATAATAATAATATAATGTTGTGTTCTTCCATCAGTGACTGACACTACAGTCAGCTGATCATTGTTGTATTATTGTTTGTACACAACTGAGAGTAAGAGGCTGAGATCAGTAATCATTTAATAATCAATAACTCTGTTCTATCCCAATCGAACTGACATCCCAACAACAACCAATTCTGCCTCATCAGTGTTCATTTATGTTCAAACACACTGTAATAGTATTGAAAAATCATATTATTATATATATATATATTTTTATTTGTTTATATTTACATCAATATATTATAATATATAATAAATTTTTTTATATATATAATTATTATAATATATATATAATAAAAATATATAAAAAAAATAAAAAAATAAATATAAAAAAATAAAAAAAATATAAAATAAAAAAAAAAAAAAAAAAAAAAAAAAAAAAAATATATATATAATATAAAAAAAAAAAAAAAAAAAAAAAAAAAAAATTATATATTCCTTCATCAACTATGATAATAATATATAATAATTTATATATATATATATATATAATTATTATATATTATATATTTATTATATATTATTATATTATATATATATATATATATATATAATATAATAATAATATATATATATATATATATATATATTTATATATATATATATATATAATTATTATATATAATAATTATTGCCTCTGTAGAATCAGATCAATCAGGCTGCAATAATTCACCGGTTTATTGATACCAGATCAATATCCAGAAATATAGCTCCGAGCTCATTGCCTCACGCTGACTGCTGATTGGCTGTCTGATTTGTTTCCAGGACGACGACGTCTTGAACAAACTGCGGGACAGTTTTCAGAGCAGGTTGACGCAGACGTTCGGTTCCGAGCTTCACCCTTCAGTCCTGATGCCAACGGCCAACGGAGAGGTCAGAGGTCACGCCAAAGGGTCAGAGGTCACATCACAGGAACAGGAAGTGGTCACCAGAGAGTTCCAACTGAGCACCGTGAGGAAGAGGCTGAGAGAGTTCCTGTCGGGGCCACGAGGATCAAAACGGACAAAGCACCTGAACTGGACAACCTCTGACCTCTGACCTCCCGACGACCAATAACAGTCTGAGAGGAATAAACACAGGTGACATCAGCACTGTGGAATTCTGGGAACTGAAGTTCAAACTTGATTTTTCTTTACGAGGATGTGAAAGGAAACTTTTGGAAACGTTTTCGAACAATATTCAACTTTTGGTCTTTTGATCGTTTCTGAGAACTTTTAGTGAAAACCATGTTTATGGTGGAAAGCCCCGAACGTTCTCTCACTGCGAGGGAATGTTGATCTGTTCATTTTATACATTTCTACAAAGCTCAGCAATCTGATTCATTCTGGTTTCAACTCTGTAAACTGAACATTTTAATAAAGTTAATAATAAGTTCCTACGCATCCTGGAAAACCTGGAAATGTATTAAATTACGAGGAGCTCGGGACCACCACTAGTGGTCGCCAAAGCTTTACAGAAAACAAACATAAACACACAGTAGACAAGACTTACTGTGTGTTTATGTTTACAGTAAACAGTTATTTATAGTGTTTATTATCTTTTAATATGGAAACATAATATTTTATGTATTCAATTATTATTATTATTGATGGCAGTGTACAGTGACAGAGCTTTAGTCTCTGATTAACAGCCTCGTCCTGCGTCTGAAAGCAATCAGCTGATAATCAATAATCAATAACCAGTGAATCTGTCAGAAAGAAGAATATTAGAATTAATTAAAAATACAGAGAATGGATCAATATATCAGGAGAACTCATCTCTGATCAATATTCACAGGAAATAATCAAAGAGTCAATCAAGAGTTCACTGTTTGGGTTCATTGATCAGTTGATCAGTTATTGATACTGATCAATAGGAAATAGCGTCTATCTGGAAGAGGAGCGGGAACCTGAGTTGGGTCTCTGGTGAGGATGCAGGTTGCTTTTCAGCCAGCAGGGGGCAGCAGCTCTGTGAGGAAGCTCAGTCCCCGCCCACAGGGTCTATATAAAGAGCTGCCAGAGACCAGGACCCGCACAGGGACCGGAGCCAGGAGCTGAACACCCTCTTGTAGACCAGTCAGTGCAGTCCTGATGGTGGTGCAGGTGAGCGGCAGCGTGGAGGCGATGGAGGGGAACCAGCAGAGAGTGGAGGTCAACATCCTGCTGCTGGGAGCTCGCAGCGTCGGGAAATCTGGTACGGAAACCCCTCAGACTGGACTCTTTATCTGGACCCAGGTCTTCATCCTGCAGGTCCACGATGAGGTCCATCAGTTAGACAAATTCAGTATTTAACAGGCTGCAGTGGGGGGGTGTATAGGTCTGTTATAGATGCTTCCTCCTGTAATGGGTGACTGCTGTAGCTGTCTCAGCCACTAACCTCCGACCTGTACTCAATGTAAAGGTCCTTACTGATACCAGAGCCGTACCTCGGATTGATCTGTACGTCTGAACTGTCGGACCATTTCACAATAAAATCTCAGTTTGTGTTGTAGCATTTTCGTTTGACAAGAGAACCACAAACACCTGAACTCTGTTTCATATTAATGACCTGTCTCTCTCTCTCTCTCTCTCTCTCTCTCTGTCTCCCCGTCTGTCTGCAGCTCTCACCGTGAGATTTCTGACCCGGAGGTTTATTGGCGAGTACGGGGACATCGGTGAGGAACAAACACTGAACAGTTTTCTGATTTCAGGTTGATCATAAAATAACAACTGACGTATTAATCTGTTTGTTTGTTTGTTTGTTTCAGAGTCTGTTTACAGTCGAGTCGACCGGATCGACGGTCAGGAGATCTGCTTCAACATCTGGGACTCACAGGTTAGAAACACACACACACACTCACACACAGTTTTTATTGGTGAAAATGTTTAATATTCAGTTTTTTATTATAATATGGAGGTTGTTTGTTATAATAGATATATAGTTTATATATTATATATAATATTACAGTCATACTCTAAGACGTTACACGAGGAGAGATGTTCTGAATAAATGTGTTGGTTGGTTCTCAGGACGGTGAGAAGACTCTGCCCCTCAGTGACAAACAGCTGCAGTGGGCTGACGGCGTCGTCCTGGTCTACAGTATCTGCGACCGCCGCAGCTTCGACGTGGTCCGCCAGCAGCTGCAGCAGATCCGTCGCAGCCGGAAGCCGTCGTCCGTTCCCGTCGTCATCGTGGGGAACAAACGGGACCTCCAGCGCCACCGCAGCGTCTCCGGCGAGGAGGGACGACTCCTCGCTCTGTCCCACTGCTGCGGCTTCTTCGAGGTGTCGGCCGCAGAGACGTACCACGGCGCCATGCTGGTGTTCCACCGGCTGGTCGACCTCGTCCGGGAGAGCCGCGCGCTCAGGAAGAGCTCGGCCGGCGTCCGAAGCATCGTGCGGAGCATGTCTGCCGTGTTTGGAAAGAAGCGAGCCGAGTAGACGAGAAGAACTCGCCGAAGAGATTGTGGCGAGGAGAAGTCGTCTGATGTCACAGTGACATCAGCGGGAAGACTTCCTGTTCCTGGCTTCATGAAGAAAGGTCAAAGGTCAGAGACGTGAGGGACAGAGGCAGGTCGAGTGACGTTTGTGAAAGAAGGTGTTTGGTTTCAGAGCGAGCTGTTGTCATGGCAACGGCTGGCTACTATTGGATGGATTGGGATGCAATGTGTTCCCCATCAGCCTCAGCTGCACTCTGTGCTAACATTAGCTAACATTAGCATGCAACAATAAGCTAACACAGTGGACATTATAGCTGCTAAACAGCAGCATGTTAGCATTAGTTAGCCTCCAGTGGACGCCAGCAGGACTGTTTCAGGGTCCGATCCAGTATCCAGACCGAATCCACGTAGAGATATCTGACTGACGGCACCGATCCACATATTGATCCAGAGACTGACGCCGTAATGAGTTCTCAACAGTTCTAAAGATATGTTGTACAAACAGTTCTTCTGTATATACGTACTGAAGCTGTATGTGAGATTTATAAATGTTACTTTAAAGGTCCAGTGTGAAAGATTTAGTGCCATCTAGTGGTGTAGCTGCAGAATGCAACTCCCTCGCTTCACCCTCCCTTCCCAAGCACAGAGGAGAACCTGCGGACCTTTAGGAGTTTTTTGTTTTCTGACCAATGTTCGGGGGGGGGCGGTACTCTGAGTGAGACGTACAGACCGAGCTGCACCGTGAGCTAAACGGTTTTAGGCTCCAAACACCAAATGTGTGACATTCGGGGCCGGGAGCTCTGCATTACACAACGAACAGAATCAGCAGATCCCCAAACTGAGGTATCAGAACAGGAAGTGGATCTGTGCCTCTCTTGGTGTCCCTGGAGGGTTTTACTGGTTGTAATGGATCAGTAAATTCCAGCCTGGTTGATGAAACCGTCAGTTTATATCTCGCTCTGTAAGTTTCAGTGTTTTTTACTCAATAAAATCTGAATGAATAAAATGAGTGTTTTTAATTCTGACACAAACACACTGAAGTCCAGGAAACTTTTATTTGAACACGTCTGTCAGTCACATGTTGGAAAAGATATGATGATGATGATGATGATAATTAGGGTTGAGTGAGTATTCGTTACCGATAATGTATTTTTATCCAATGAGTAAAATGTGTTAATACTTTTAAACTTTTGTTGTTTCTCTGGTGATCAATAACATCGCTCTGAAGATCAATTCTGATAAATAAAGCAACTTCTGATCAACCAGATCAGGTTTAAGCCCCGCCCATTCAAATGCAGATCATTTGGTTGGTTGAACAGAAACAGATACAGAACATACTCGCTCATCCCTAAAAACATTAATAATTATTCATAATATTAAAATAATATTTGTTTACATTTTGAAGCTTTTATTTCTGAAAGTAAAAATCACTTCCTGTTAATTCTCGGCGGTCATTCAACTTCAGCCTCCATTACAAAACATGTTCCACTCAATCAGTTACAGATAATCGATTCTCTATCATCGACCAAAACCTTCATCACATCCAACAACAACAACAACGCGCTTCTTTCTGCATCGACAGCTGAGTACGGTGGCCTTGAGAGGCAAAATAACATTTCAGAAAGCAGCAAATACATTTTGGATGAAGGCCACAAGCTGAAAGCTCTGGAAGTGCATCTCATCACTAATTTGAGAATCGACTCTCAGACATTTAAACTAATTTTCTGATTGCTCGGTTGGTGAACGAGAACGCACAAACTAACGCCAGCTGAGGCAGAGACGTCTCGTCGTCGGGGGCTGAGACGGGAGGCTGTGATTGGTCAGAGGGCGGGGCTGGCAGCAGTGATTGGTCGTGGATGGGGGCGGGGCGGGACCTCATCGCGGTGTCTAACAGTCGGTCGTTGCCGTGTCGTCGGTGTTGTTGGCGTTGTCGGCGTTGTTGGGGCTCAGGTACTCGAAGGCCTTCTGGCTCTGAGAGACGAACTGTTTGAGCGGAGCGAGGAGCAGCTCGGTGGCAGACGGGCGGCGATGGACGACGATGCCATCGGAAGGGATTGGCTGCCCCTCCACCTCCAGGGCCGGGGTTTCCTTCACGCTGGAGCGGCGGCCGTTGGGGGGGTCAGGACTCTGGGGGCCTCGACCAGCCCGGGAGTAGAGACTCCGGCGGCGGCGAGGACGGCCATCCATCGCCTTCAGGAAGAGGCTGTTAGCTGAACTGCGACGAGACGAACTGTCGGAGATGAAGTCCTCCTGGTTCATGAAGTCCTCGACCTGCTGGTCAGACGGCTGCTGCAGCTGAAAGACACAATTGTATTGATTATTGGTAATTAATAGATTATCTCCTTTCCCTGCTTCAGGACAGGTGTAGAGTGGGTGGGGTGAATGTGTCTCAGGTGAGTCTCACCAGGGTGTAGAGTGGTGTTGCGTTGATCACCAGCTGCAGGAGGATCTTGGACAGTTCCTGTAGGTCTCGGAGCAGCTGCTGGATCTGGACCGGCAGCTCTGTGATCTGACGAACAGGACGCAGCTCAGCTAACATGACGGCCTGACCTCTGATCCCGTTCAGGGTTAGCTCTCTGAGACTCTCTGCCCGGTACAACTGCGCCACCAGGAAGCTCTGCAGGTTCTGCAGCAGCTCACTGACCAGCTCCAGGACCTGACCCAGACCCACCTGCAGGGAACAGACAAAGTCAACAGCTGAAATACACCCAGGACCAGGACCAAGCAGAACCTCATCCACCCTGACAATCACAATACTGAATCTTTGTTGTTATCTTTATAAAAATTGTTCATTCGCTAAAAACAATTTTCTCCCAGAACTCCCAAAACATTTAAAACGTTCATCATCTAAAGTCACTCTACAACTTCTAAATGTCAGATTCAGTTTCAGAGTGGTCCACACAGGTTTCACTTGGGATAAATGTATGTTAACGACATATTTTTAGATTTTTTACAAACGTCAAAGACCGGTGACAATCTTCCGTCGCTCTAGCAACAGTTGCACCGAGAGGGCGACACTTTCTGGTGTTACGTTAAGAAGAAGACACAGTGGATATTCTACAAGCACAGACCAGGTAACGAACAGTGAACCCACCTGGTTGGTATCATTCGGTACAACATTGGCTACATCATTGAGAAAAGATGCCGGCTGATGTTGCAAACAGAATCCAAACAGAATCGTGGGTGAAAAATACGAGTTATATTTGATAAACATATATGAAAACAACTTGACGGCCAGTTCTTTCGGAGTTTCAGGGGTCAGAGGTCAGAGGTGGAGGGATTCGGAGTTAATGGTTGAACACGGTGTACAGACTGTTCTAAAGCAGTAAACTTTCTGTTTTTCTAAAGGAGGTCTGATCTAAACAGATCTGAAAACCCCTCAGAGTCCAGCTGGCAGCTTCTGCAGTTTCCCAGCAGACAACAGAACAGCAGATCTGGATTCAAACCAAGTCCGAGTTGGCAGCAGACAGACACACGTGAGACCGGTGGGCAGAGTGACCCCACGAGCACGCCATAAACAGACCGACCAAACAACAGCACAACAGGACGGCGCTCAGGACCAAAAACCTCACGGTATACTCGAGGGTTGGACTCTGTCACAGTTCTGCAGTAATAAACCAAACAGATCACTCGTTCAGATTTAAAGTTATAGAAAACGAGCTGCATTCAGGGTTAACAACATGAATTATTAATGTGAACTCTGCCAAAGTCCCGCCCCTTTTTACTCTTTCATTTCTGTCGAAGTTAAACTGTTTTTAGTCCTGGGTCAACCTTTTAGATTGATACAGACTCGGGACACTGTGACAATCTGACCAGTAGTTTCCCAGAAATCTCTTTTAGAGATACAGATTTCAGACCTGCAAACCATGTGCAGATGTTTGGTCTTGCGTCACTACTGGACTGCCATCTTCGAGGTAACTGGGACAGCGATAGAGCTTATAATGCTGTTACTGCTCTGTTCGGTACTTCTTAGTCTGTTCCCAGGCTCCGAGCAGATCTGAGAGTCTTTGTGGCAGCACGTTTATTATCAGAAAGATGGAAATCACAAACACACACAGTTTACAGCCTGAATCAGATCTCCACTGAAAGGCTCTTCCTTTCTCAGTTATCCCCGAATAACATCTGTCTGTTTCTTTCTTACTTGTTCTTTTCTATCCTGAAGGCGGGGGTCATTATGTCTTTGTGTTTACTGTAACACGTGAAACATGACCACGCTGTTTTCTTTCTGGTTGCTATTTTACTTTAACATTCTTGTCAATTTGTGCATAAAAATCCGTAAACAAAGTTTATCAAAAAGGTTTGGGACATCAGACGAGCTTCAGTCAACCAGAGAACGGCGTGTGAACAGTTGGTCCTGCTGCTCTGTTTCACTCCGTCAATACAAACTCACTGGGTATTTGGGTCGGACACAGACAGCGGGTCACGACCTCTGACCTCTGAACAAACAACAAACAGCCAGAACAGCACGTGATGGCGTCACACACACACACACAGCGACAGGCCTAATGAGGCTGCTGATTGGCTCTGATACACCATCAGCTCACCTGCAGCGGAGTCCTCGTTATTGTGAAACAGCGACAGTAATTATCTGTTTTAATTATCTTCACAAAACGCAGTCAGCAATGTGATGAACAGTCAGTACAGAGAGTCTCTCAGAGGACGTGGAAACTAAATTCACACTGAAATAAAGTGTTTAAATGGGATTATCTGTTTATTCCTCCTGGAGACACTGCAGTCCAGTCTTCCTTACTCAGACCTGAATCAGCAGCAGGGCTCAGTAAGGATTACCTGGGGCAAGTAAACAGCCCGTCAGGCTGTAAATCTACCAATGACAGAGGGAAAACAGAATGAAACACGTTGTTAGCTGACAGCAGGTACATTAGCAGCAGTGGGTTATCGCTCCATCAGTTCTGATGCTTCATGCAGCACGTAGACTCACTCTAAAGCTGCAGAGGAAACCAACATTTATCTTTAATGAGGTCCATTATCTGTCCATCTGTGTGTGTGTGTGTGTGTGTGTGTGTGTGTGTGTGTTTTGTGTGTGTGTGTGTGTGTCTGTCTGTCTGTCTGTCTCTTTGTATGTGTGTGTGGTCACGTAGCCTCTGTCTGTTTATTTCTGTATCAGATTTTTATCGAAATGTTTGTTATTGTAGAAACACTGAAACTGATCTGTCCTCTGCTGCGTCTCTTTACTGTCCTCTGCTGCGTCTCTTTACTGTCCTCTGCTGCGTCTCTCTACTGTCCTCTACTGCGTCTCTTTACTGTCCTCTGCTGCGTCTCTCTACTGTCCTCTGCTGCGTCTCTCTACTGTCCTCTGCTACGTCTCTTTACTGTCCTCTGCTACGTCTCTTTACTGTCCTCTGCTACGTCTCTCTACTGTCCTCTGCTACGTCTCTTTACTGTCCTCTACTACGTCTCTCTACTGTCCTCTGCTGCGTCTCTCTACTGTCCTCTACTGTGTTGGGAACAGTTGGGGACAGTTTTGTCTCACCTTGTCAGCAGTGTCTCCCAGCGTCCTGACGGCGATCTGCAGCTGCTCTCTGACCTTCATCATGCGATGGTAGAGCTGAAGGCTGAGGTTCAGCAGGAGGCTGCGGACCCTCGTCCACAGACTGGGCTCATCGTCTTCATCTTCATCCTCGTACTCCTGGACCCTCGTCTCCCACTCCCGACCTGATATACAACGAGAGGGTCTTCATTTTCTAAAACCTCCATCCTCACCTTCCTCCAGCCCTGACAGCTCTGTACTCCAGCTGCTGCACTCTGATCCACTCACATTTGTTGAGTGGGATCAGAGACGTGTGAATATTTGAACCACAGTTCAGTCTCACCATCACATTTGAATATTGTGTTTCTGCAGAAAAAACATTTGACCGCAGCTACCCAGAATGCCCCTGTACTCACGCAGCGTGGGTGGGAGGGGCAGGTAGTAGGCGGTGGCGTCCTCCAGGCGACTCAGCACGTCGTCCAGTCCCGACGTGGCGGCCCGGCCCACCTGAGTGTCCT